AACCACAAGGCCTCTATTGCCATGACAACCACCCATTGTGTAGCGGGAATCGGTTATTATTTAGTTAAGCTAGTTTTGTATTTTCCTTTTATTTCTTAGTCCTATCCAACCATTCTTATTCCTTTGCAGTAAATTTCTCTTTGTGATACAAATCACATTGGAGGGTAGACCTGATAAACTGCTTACAGTGTCTAAATTCTACTGGTAAAATTGGAAGTGTTTTATACAATAGGCCCTAATTTCATACTTTCTTCTTTTTAGGTAAAAAAAACTTCACATCTTAGGGGATTTCAAAGATTTCATCTTCATTTACAAGCAAATTACTTCACTCTAATCACTTTTAGTTCTAGATTCTGTGCGCCTTTTATGGAAATAAGATCTTTACTTCTAAATTTATAAGATTTATACATGAATACTAAGTCTCTGACATTCTAAATAAGCGACTTCAAAATGTGAGCTTCCATGATTCAGTGGCAGGATGATACATTGGACGCTCTAATTCGATTGTAGACTGACTCACCCCTAAGCCTTTTCTATCCTGCAGTAAGCCTGGAAAAGAAGGAGAGTAAGGCGCGAGGCTAGCAACCCACACCTTAAAAACCGCCACTTCTGAAACACCAAAGCTCGAAGCAATCTCTTCCACTTGGAACGCATGGAATGAAAATAAAGTAAAAACTATGTTAATGGCTTCAAACAAGTCACACTGACGGTAAGCTTGTGATATCTCAATACCTTTAAGACAGAAATCTATATCAAACATTCCTTAAAGGACCTATCTGTTAATCGAAACCTAATCACGAAACTTAACTAACATTTAAACCGTGTATTCTAATTTATTCTGTGTATACATTAGAGGAGAGAGATTTTTGTTATTCTCCGGAGATGTTTTTAGCATCCTCTAGAGGAACTTAGGGTGTCACGAAAAGAATTTCCAACAGGTTGCAGATTTTCATTAACAGCTACCTTCACCGGTTCCATACTAAAAATCAAATGGTCAGCCAGAAAGAATAAGCAGCAAGAAACTACGGGAACAAACCAACCAAGAGCCGATCGCTCAACAAATCTGTAGGAGAAAGTGAAGATAGACCGGGCATACATTGAAGAGGCCGCCGAATGACATCGCACGCCAGGCCATCGAGTGGAATCCAAATGCGGAGCAACGATTGGATCGCCCTAGACTGACATGGAAGAGATCATCTGAGGAAGGGATGAAAGAGTTTGGTCAATAGTGGAGCCAACTGTGAGAAGGACAGTATAAAACAGAACAAAATGGAGATGTGTTGTTGAAACCATATATTCCACTCGGAAAGCAAGGGTATAATAATAATAATAAATAATAGAGAAACTTTTTATATCTAAGGTTGCTAAAAATGTATTTCCATGATCTACATTCAATCATCTATATGCTTGTGAATATTTTATCTGTATCACATCAGGGATGGATATCGTATTATCCATTTGAAGTACAATTCACGTATCATTAAAGCAAGGAATATGTGAAGAACACACTACTCGATAACTTGATGCAGATGTAATATATTCTCCGTCGAATACCTTTATGTCCATTTCGTCGAGATATGACAGTGGTTAAAAGACATAGTATCATGCATTAAAGTTTTATGTCTACTAAATTCTTCGCTTCTTCTCCTCAGAAGTAATCACGGGTGGAATATAGAACTTGTCTACTTCTAACTAAGGCTGAATACTCTATAAACAAAAATCACTGCTAACACATTAAGCGTAAAATACAGTATGGTTTGAAATAGAGGATTGTGAACCACTGGTTTCAATACTCCCCTGAATCATTTTGACTAATCTATTCTCCAAATTTTCTAAAATTCCAATTCGCTCATACCTTCTTGTTCTCAGCAATCTCTAACTACTAGGACGCTAGTGATTCGAATTCTAACATAGTTTGGTGTGTCTTTAATACTGAGTTATTATCACTGTGTAAAAATTCAGCTTTATTAGTAATCACTTAGTTTTTAATTCAGTTCATAATGCCTTTTATCCATCGAAATTATCTGTTGAATTTTTGTAACTTCTTTGATCAGAGTATATGAAATAAATTCATTGGATGAGGAACATTCTTTTTTAGGTGTTTATAACAACCCTTCCATACTAGACAATTTAATTATCTCGCTTGCAAAATATCATCACATGAAACCACTCAGACGTGACGTAATAAAGTCATAAAATCTATATGCATACAAAATGTATATAATGTGTGTGTGTGTGTTAGTGGGTAGAACTAACCACGAATTTATCTTGCCGGTCTTTAACATCATCCAATCAATTGCATCTAACGATAGATCTCTATATATTAGGGAACAAGAGTTAATTTCCCCTTTTATCTGATTGGTGGAAATGTTAGCGAATGGATAGAAAATAAGACAACAGCCAAATTACTTGATAACTATGACAATGATATTCATCCATGTATTGTGGGTAACATGTTAATTTTTTCACCCTCCAAAAATGCAAATGGTAATACTAAGGGAAGAGGTTTATGACGGGAAAAATTCACTGCCTGAATAGGTGATGATAAGGGAATAGGATGGTTAGGGAAATTATTCCCTCATTTTAAAATTCACGCAACTTTAGACATTCAGTGGTCAAATACTGATAAAGTGTCTGTGTGAAATCAATTAAATGTCTTCCTTCATTTCATTTTTGCATTCAGGTTTGTTTTGTAGGGGATAGGGGTGGAGATAAAGTAAGAAGATGATGTTAACTAGTATGTAGTACTTGTAGGTCTTAAAATTTGAAGACAGTTGTCGTTTGTCAAGTTACTGGTAAGCATCTTCTTTGAATACTATTAGTATTTTTAAGAACCAAATTATGACATTGTTCTACCTGGTATTTAGTAATGTATTTATGATAAACGAGCTTCGATTCAGTGTAAGATTCTTTGCCAGAGAATTTTTCAACTAACTAAAACCTAATCAAATTGAATAATTCTGAAGTAAGTCGTTGATGAACCGAGTTATAAAGAAGTCACATCATTTGAGTATTGTTCAAAGTCACCGAGTTATGGTGAATGAGTTCTGCTAATTATGTGAAACTGATATGTTATTATCAGATATGAGATTATGTCTGACTCACTGACTACTTCCAACGTAGAACTTTGCACAGATGTACAGCAGTTCTAGTCACCAGACTCCATGTAACATGAGAAGAGAGTAAAGAGAGATAATAAACGGAGATATGTGGTAAAAAGAATAGTAATTTTGAAGAACAATATAATTTTATTGGATACAGTAAGTCACAGAGAGTGAATGCATTTGCACCAGCCACTGAGAACGATTTTGAGCTATATCACCAATTGTCTCCAGCCATTGGCTTTTATCATTCCCAAGCCCCCAACCATGAAGCCAGCCTACAGCTCCCCACGTGGCTGGCTGGCTTAAACTAACTGTTGTGGATTTTATTGACTGGTGAGGCCATGTTTTGGTTTGACCACCACTAGCTAACTCTTTCCCTATGTCACTTAACACTGCCCATTGTTGAGGAAGGTGGTCGATGACTAGGCATGTATAACACATGTCATGCGGTTGTCGAACCTACATTTTTGTCACATTCACTTTCATTACTTTTTAATTTATCATTATCACAAGTCTTGGTCTGAATTTTTAGAAGTTAAATATATCGCCATGTTGAATAAATGCTTCATAGAATTTCTCATAAACACGTGCCTAACTGGAACGGTGCAGTTGTTAGACACTTATGAGATGAACTTGAACTAACCTTCAATGGAAAACAACCAGAGGTTACTGCGTTTCACTTCTTTATTTTTAAAACTATTAGAAGCATACAAACTTGTTATGTTAATGCTAATATAATATACTGATTAGATTACAGATGAATAAATGAAATAATAAATTTAATTATTAACACATGGATAATTTAATGAGAGTTGTTTATTTCCATACTTTTTCATATATTTCATTTTGTTTTAAAGATCCACCTCAATAAAGCTGTAAGACTAGGAATATTATGAGTAGTAATGAAATTAGTTCTCAAGGTGTCATCAAACCTAGTGATGAAACGTCCATATATATATATATATATATATATATATATATATATATGGATTACCAAACCGATGAGCTTGCTTGCCGAATCAGAGGGGATGCACTAACACTCGAACTCGCGACGACTACATGCTAAATGAAGGTGTTTGCCTAAGTGCTGTCAGCACAGTTAGTCAAACTAAAAAAGTGAAATTTTCAAGTATTGTTTTTGTAGGGATTTTTATTGGATTGGTTGGAGGATTTCATCATGAGCTAAGATCAGTTGGAGAACCATTGGAAAACCGCGGGGCGCTGGACAGCCGTTTCGTCACTCTAATTTGGAACTCTTCATCAGTACGCGTCCACCACCAGGGGTCGAACCCAAGACCTGGTTACAAAGCGAACTAGCTGGTAAACCATTAAGTCACTAGGACCTGATCCAGTGGCCACCCAGTGCATGAATTCTAACTCCTGCCAATTCATGACATAGAGCGACCACTTCACGATGTCTTCTTCGATGAGTTACTGCATTGCCTTCAACCTGCTGTACCGTACTGGTCACGGCTTCCCACTAGAATCTCAGGTCAACTGTGTGAATAGGTCCAGTTGCGAATGAGCGTCAGATTAATTTTCAAGTATTGGTTTTGTAGCGATTGTGTTTGATTGGTTGGAGGGTTTTCATCATGAGCTGACATCAGTTAGAGAACCATTGGAAATTTGGCATCCAGTGTAGAATGTTGACGAAATTGTGGGCTAAAGATTTTTTGGCATTTTGCATGGAATCAAGTGAGAGAGGCAGTTTACTTATATGATACTCTGAAAAAACAAATATTCTCTACCTTTTTATATGAAGAATCTAATCCCTCTTCACTTTCTTCCCCCCGCAACCAACCCCGCACTTATTTAGCTCTTATTTCATCCTGAAGGAGTATACTTTGAATTTGAGGATACTTTTCAACGATAATTTGATTGAATCGAATTATCTCAATGCCTATAACAGAATCAATTCAGTTTACAAAATACAAGAAGCAAGAATGTATGAATAATACACCTTATCAATCGTGTTTTATACCATATAATCAAACACAATTTAATTGTACACTGAATCCATTAAACAATAATTTACAATCAACACAGTGTAATATATTTAGTTCAATTGAAAAATTAACAAATGAAGACAATTTAAACTTGAATAATAGTAGAAATCTAAATTCTGATAGTATGAAAAAATCTAATGAAGAAAATGAACCATCAACTAAAATGCCATATTTATTTCCAATGGGTTGGGTAAGTTGTTATTTTGATAACAGGTTGGTTAAATATTCAAATTCAAGCGCGTCAGTTCTATACTGTACTTGTATTCCTAAAGATTTTTCCAGACTAGAAGAAATTATTAGTGAGGTACTTATAGGTTACATCAGTGTCATTTGTCACGGACAGCTGACACATCCATACAGGCTATTTCATTCACTTTATTTTTCCTATTAACGCATTTGTGTTTAAATCAGGCGGTATGGTGTTTAAAACACGAGTGGTTCTACACTATACACTTTTTTTTTGGCAAGCCACAGTTATTTCTCGTCTGAAGAAAAGTCCTTTAAGGCAGACTTCTTCATGAAGAAGTCTTAATATTAAAAAATCGGTTCGGTTTATTTCAACAAACTTGTTTATTCTTTGCAGAGTTGATTTGTAGGGATTTGATTTTTGTTTATCAAGTTTGACAGCGGAGTGATATTAGTTGGAGAACCATTTAAAACCAGTGAGTGTTGGACAGCTGTTTCGTCCTAGTCTGGGACTTATCGAAAGTACGAGTCTGCCTTGTAACCTGTAGGTCCTGGGTTTAAAACCCCGGTGGGCACGTACCGCCGATGCGTCTCAAACTAGGGACGAAACAGCTGCCCAGTACTCCCTGGTTTCAAGTGGTTCTCTAACACTGATATCAATCCATAGTCAAACGGGAAATGTAGTTTATATTTTATGATGGGTATCAGAGGTGAATATCTTTGAAATAGTCTTCGACGAAATCAAAAAATGTGTTCATGTAAACTATATCTGTACAAATAAACGTATTCCTGAAATCATCTATCTTTCACAAATTATATTTGGGAATACATAGCTTATCTAGCTTCTAATTTAAATTCTTTATTTTTATTTAACTAACTAAGTATGAATTTTTTTTGTATCTGAGTTAAAACACTGGCTGCAAGTGTCCAGAAGTCAGAGAAGGAAGCTAAATTGTAATTCTTTTGGGAAGATGAAGTTTCTTGCGAATACTAAGGTAGAGTATAATTCCTCAACATTATTTGATAAAACGCACAGTAAGTAATACAGTATAATTTACTTGGTGACGACATTTTGAGCTACACATAATTTGATTGTGAGCATTAAATTTTGCATCCTTGTGTGTTTTATCAAATGAAATTATCCTATAATGGAATTTCTTCACAGCTCTTTACAAGCCACTGAAAAAAAAAATTCTGTTTCTTGAGTAGGTAGAATTTACACTAGTATTCAGAAATATGTCACCGATACTTTCAGATCATACATATTCACTAAGTGCCTTGATAGCCATGTCTGTATTTTGTCGAGTCATGTAGACAATCCACTCTTGTATAATGTAAACTTCTGTTCGACACTCCCTACTTTTAAAGTCATTAGAGGTTGTCAGTGTAAAATCATATTGCTGTTCACCTATAAGATGGCTAATTCATCTTACAGGAAGTTATATAAGCTTGAACTAATCAACTTCTCATTCATAAAAGTTACAAGAATATTTAGTTAACTGGCTTAAATTCAGTACCAAACTCATCAAAACATGACCAATACACAGGGGGGGGGGTGATGCACACTCTTATCTATAGGCCAACTAATGTGTAAAATATGGTTTGACACAGAGTTTATGGTTGCTTATTGTTTCATGTGAATAATGAGATATTCTGTGATAGATCTCAGCGTGGAAAACTGAAAGCTTCACCGGTGATGGTAATAATCAGTTAGTTTTTCAAAAGATAGGCTACTGTAGAATAAGATATATTTCTAAGTGTCCAGTGTGTTATTATTTGTCTGGTTATCAACTTCCCGCTGTCAAACTCAAGTTTCACCTGTCACTTTCAACTAGGGAAAAATGATTGGTTGGAAATCCATGCTGGTTTTTATATTGACGGTTTAGGTTCCTGCATCCTTGATTGTAACGCAATCAGGAATATATTCAGATAATTACTGCTGACAAAATAAATGTCAATTACATCCAAGTTTAAAGGCTTCGCAACCATACGACTCGCTTTGTCACGAAGACACTTTAATACGCAAACACGAAAATGTGTCAGTAAGAGTGTAAACATATTTCACTGATCAGTGAGTTAAAGTAACTATACAGGTTAAATTTTGAAAAATCTTTCAGAAGAATAAGTTTTGCATTTTAATAAATCTTCTTGTATACATTAAGAATGTACAATTAACATGCAAAAATATACACGTTAAAAGAGACTCTCTTTCAGCTATCTCACACTCAGTTCCTAATCGTGTCGTGATTCTAAAAAAGTAACATTCACTTTGATTTTCAGAAATCCTACGATATTATTCAGTTGAATTCTATGTATTATTGAGATAGATATCACTTCCTTGACATTTTGAATTGACCATCTTTATCAAACTTATTATCATCATTTTTCACTCGATTGACAAATTTCCGTATTGTATGAAAAATTATATATTAGAGTATAGGCTAGATGAGGATCTAATTGACGAGAAAGCATTTCTTCACTTCATCCATTTGTTTTCTAAATGTCTGGCTGGAGATTTTTTGCCATACTGATACTTTTCTTGTTCACTATGAAGATAATAACAAGCATTAAATGATTTGTCAAATAATTCTACTTATCTGATATGAAATTTTCAGGTCCCACCGCCTCCACATATTCTTTTGGCGTATTTACAAGCTGCCAAATTATTTCGACAACAACAACAAGAACAACAGCAGCAACAGTGCTTACAAGAATTTGAGCATCAGTCGAAATGTTTATCACATTATCAATACTGTTCAAATCAGGCAGCATATTTTAAACCTGATAAAGTTAATTTTATAAAAACTAAAAATTGGGTAAGTTCAGTTGATTATTTTCATGTTCTAATAGAAATGTTTACTCATCCCATTCCTTGTCTAAAACAGACAGAATATTATTTTAAATTTTCAAAGAGAAACCTAGAGATTATTTTTCCAAAATAATGAGTTAAATTTCACTTAAAAATCAATCCTATACGAGAAGAGCAATAGAATATGGTACTTATATTACAATACATGTATCTTGTGTCTTAGTTACAACTGTAGCCAAAAATTCTAAATTCAAGCTTTGCTTTTATGACACAATTATATCTCATACATTTATTCCCCTTAATGAATTTGAACAATGCAAGAACTACAGTTTTAGCAGAATAAAATGGTACCATCTTTTATTTCGTTGCCTTCTCGTCAGCTGCTTACATGGCAAAGACATTATTAAATATATCTACAACAACAATTTTAACATACTTGCACAGAGTTCAGTTTAAACAAAAATCAATCGATCAATATACGCATACACTAAAAATATATACATATATAAATATGCAATATCAACCACTATTCCGAACAATAATAATCAAACACAATGGAAACGTTGAAAAGTCGTTCAAAATTATCAATAAGCAAAATAGCTCCATTCTCCTTAAGTTTGCTGAAGCCATTTCCATCAAGCGCATGAAACCTGATTTATGCGTCCAGAAAGAAGCGGTTATCAGCCTTTCTTTGCCCTGGTAACTGGATAATTTCACCTCTCTTTCCTCCGAATGTGAAATGCTAAAAGCTTCCATTGTGTTTGATTATTATTGTTCGGAATAGTGGTTGATATTGCATATTTATATATGTATATATTTTTAGTGTATGCGTATATTGATCGATTGATTTTTGTTTAAACTGAACTCTGTGCAAGTATGTTAAAATTGTTGTTGTAGATATATTTAATAATGTCTTTGCCATGTAAGCAGCTGACGAGAAGGCAACGAAATAAAAGATGGTACCATTTTATTCTGCTAAAACTGTAGTTCTTGCATTGTTCAAACAATTATATCTAATTACTTCCTCCTAAATAGGTGGATCGCGCAATAAATTAAAAGCGGTTATGGGACCATCAAAAGAACAAGAGGACATTAGGCTTCTTAAGATCAATCAAATCCAGATAAACTCGACTAGTGAATTTCATAAGTTACCAGTAAAGTCTTCAGTTTCTTCCTTCATTTCCTGGGGATCTGTAAAACATACTGAATAGTTGATGAATCATTTCCAGCATAAGACGATACCCCGTTATTTGCATATGCGTTGCATCTTTTATCCTATTCATCTAGGATAAGAGTTTAAGGAATGCCTATACAAAACAAAATAAAACCAAAAAAATAGCTGAGTAATCTCACTTTAACTACTTCAGCGTCTTCTGACCTTAAAAAGTGTTACCTATATCCGAATATCCTTTATAATCTTTATTTCTTTTCTTACATAATTAGCTTATAGACTTAAGTGGATGAAATATTTTATTAGACTTTCCTTTTTATTGTCAGTTCACGATTATTTGTAGACAATTAATTCGTTAACATAAAAAAGAATGTTCGTAAGAAGGCATACTTTCATTTATTTTCACAGGTATTCTTCATCACTGAACATAAATATTTTAAGAAATACGTGGCTTTATAACATGATAATAGTCTTTTGAACATAACATATTTCTGTGGCACGTTTTATTATGTGATTCATTTAATTAATTATCATTAATAATAATGATAATGATATTCCCTTGGGTTCCAAGTGGAACCATAGGGCTTCAGCAACCCATATCCACTTTCTTCTATGTTATACTGTCCTCTTCAACTGGGTCCACGATTGCCCATAATCTCTCATCTCCTCTTTCTCCTTGCTAACACACGATCTCTTCTCCATGTCACCCTCACACTGACGACCCACTCATCGCTTCCTATTGGAAGTCCATTCAAACGATGGCCTGCATTTCACGCGATTTTATTCGACGGCCTCCTCAAGGAATACCCGATCTACTTCCATTTTGTCCTACATGTTTATTGAGCAATCGGTTCTTTTTTGGTTTGTTGCCAACCAGAGTTTCTTCTTGCTAAATCTTTCTGACCGACTGGCCATTTGATCTTCACTTTGGAGCCAGTGAAGGCAGATGCTTTTTTTTTGGAAATGTTTTTCGTGACATGCAGTGCACTTATGGAAGAACTGACTGGCTTCACATTAAGTGTTGAAAATCCGAATCTTGTTCTTCATGCTGGCTGCAGAAGATCCTCAAAATGGTTTCAAGGCGATCAAGACGTGTCTTGTCTTTCAGATTCTGACCAGCTTTGACACCTTCATCCGTTCCGATTGCCTGTGGTTGAAACGATGCTTCCTAGGAAAGTGAAGAAAGTAACTTCAATCAAATATCTCCCGTTGATGCTGACTGGCGGCTCTGGTTGTTCTTGTTGGTGGTAGTGGTGTAGGTATCTTCATCAACCTCGTCTTCTCAATGTTCACCTAGAGTTCTGTCTTCGCTGCACTGTTTCTTCTGCCATTCTGTTGGCTTTCGCCTGCAATTCTTCGAGTGTGTGTGTGTGTGTGTGTGACATCAGACATAAATCATCTGCAAAATCCAGATCTTCTAGGGTCTTCTCATCTGTCCAATGTATTCCTGTCTTTTCACTCCCTGGGGACAATGAGACGCATGATCGAGTCCACCACAACTAGAAATTTTCAAGTATTGGTTTTTTTTTCCAGTGGTTCTCTAACTGATGTCAGCTCATGATTAAATCCTCCATGCAATCAAACAAAATCCCTACAAAAAACCAATACTTGAAAATTCATCTGACGCTCACTAGTGACTCGCCCTATTCAGGCAGTTAACCTGGGGTTCTAGTGGGAAGCCGTGACCAGTAGGGTACAGCAGGTTGAAGGCAATGCAGTAACTCATCGAAGAAGACATTGCGAAGTGGTCGCGCTATGTCGTGAACTGGCAGAAGTTAGAATTCAAGGACCATTGGATCGGGTCCCAGTGGCTCAATGGTCTACGAGCTCGCCTTGTAACCAGAAGGTCCTGGGTTCGAATCCCGGTGGGTGCGTACTACCGAGGAGTCCCAAACTAGGACGAAACGGCTTTCCAGTACTCCCAGGTTTTCCAGTGGTTCTCTAACTGATGTCAGCTCATGATTAAATCCTCCATGCAATCAAACAACTAGAAATATCCATCGGTAATAGCAGACAGTATAATCTTGCTCCTGTATTCACTTCAAACGCGCTGGTGAGATTTCCGTCGTAGGATTCCTTTAATATTAATTTTTTTTTATTATAAGTTAATATAAAGAATCACTTTCAAGTGTAGACTGTTCTAAATGTCATGCTTTCTGTCCTGGAAAGGATTAGTGTTGAATTATACTAAACAGTCCGGAAAATATTGAAAAAAGTCACTAAATATATATTTTGATTTTTAACATATATCTAGTGCCATAAATATTAGAATACTTAGCGATTAGCTGTAAAATTAAAGGATGTCTTTTAATAACGGAAAATTTTCTCAGTCACATATCGTTGTAAAGTGTCTCGTGTGAGTGGTTGCTAAAGAAAGATAATAGACTTGTATCTTTGAAGACTTTTTGCTCACTGAAGTGTGTATTGATGAATTTGTTACGAAGTTTTCAAGCTAAATTGTGTCACCACGGTTGAAGATTCTGGATGAAGTGAAAAATACAAAACTTGAAAAATCAATAATAGTAGTAGTAGATTTTGCCATCACCTCAAAAAATTCACAGGTGTATGGAAGTTTGATTTTTAATATTTTTTTAAATAGTTTCTAAATGGTATTCAATGCTTCAGCATAATGTAAACCCCAGTATGAGTTGGAGTAAATGTTGATTCTTATGCTTCCCTATCAATATTTGCGGAAATCACACTGTCTTAATGAGGAGGATTTAATGCATATCAGTACTGACATGAATATAATTATTTGCTTAGGGCAATCTGTGACGACTTTGAAGCCTTGCTACTGTTTGTACCTCAATTATATTCACCTAAGACTATACCTGTAAAATGATATCTGACCAGTGGAGTAACATAAGCTGAAATAAACCGTCTGTAGACCGATAATTTAGTTCACATATCGATATGAGAAGAATACTATGCTGGGGGAAATTATTTCTCAGAATGTTATGCCCTAAAGGAAAAGAATCACTTTCTTGTAAGAAGAAACTTTCCTTTCCCTTCAGATGTGTAAATATAAATTTGATAAAAATGAATCAATTATGCCGACTTCAATACAACTTCTTTAGAATTTTTTCTTACTCTTAAGAAAGGTGCAAACACTTGTACTAACTTATCTGATGATTAAAGTTTTCGGAGCCGACTTAATCTATTCATCTTAATGCTGAGACTTAACTTCTGATCATAGTGCAGAAACGCAGTGTTCTTTTTCCTACAAAGTGAAATCTCAGATGAGTAAGAGGAAAAATAGAATTTGTAAGACTAACATGTATTGATTGCTTACAAGTGGATATCATAAACTGTATTATTTGCGCCTAGAACTTACTAGTTTAGGCATTTTACGTTTATTCATTCGGCTACGGGTGCAGGTCTCTCACTCCATCTTTACCATCATTTAGGATAATTTCATAGATTATCTTACAGTTTACTCAGGACTCTTGTTTGCAGTTTAATAGGAAATAGCTTTTGGAATTCTGATCTTTTATCAAAAACTCACTAATGTTGTCAATAACAATCATTCTGCCATTATAATGGATATATGACTACAGAACCTGATGAAGACAGCAGGTTATCGAAAAGAATATTCTTGGTTCAGTAATCAATCTTTTGACAAGGTTTATAATTCATTATTATTATTATTATCTCTATTGTTACATTATTTCAATGATTTCTTCTCTGACATGCTGCGTTGTGCCAACCCTCAGCAAAACTTTGACTTTCCATTAGAATTGCTTTAAGAAACTCCCACATAAAGTGAACCCTTTCTCCCGGTAACCTATAATCAAATGTGTAAACATGACCGAAGGTTACATAAGGTGTATTCGATGGGTTGAAGAAAAAAACATATTTTTTGAGATTTGTTTGAAAATGGCAAAACATATGGAAATTTATTCAGGAGTTACTGGGATGAAAACATGAAAGAAAACAATAAACACTGGTCAAATTTAGATGAAATCATTGATGGGAGGAAATGTTTGTTCGTAGGTGTTTGTGAATATATGGGTTGTGTATGAATGAGTGAGCATATGCATATGGAATGCCTTTCCCTTTAGTTAATATTGGATGACCATTAAATTGCTATGCCATAACTATTCAGTTGAAAATGTTTACAACAAAAATAACACCAACGCTATACTGTTGACAAATGAATGAATCACTTGCCAAAAAGGGTATATATATATATATATATACACATCTTAATTATATGGTTTAAATGTTTACTTATCATGATAGAAAGAACGAAAGAAACCATCCTTCTTTTCATCTTCATTATAGTATGAACAATTATTAAAATAGATATTCATAATTTGAAGATGAGGGATTGTCCATTCATCACTGGGAAAGTTAAGTTCTATTACTGATACTTGATAAAGATTTCGAAAAGAAGAACGACTTAATTTAGTTATAGTTAATTAGATGTACTCTATATCAAATTGCTACAGTTCATCATAATTTTAAAATATGACAACCTATTAAATGATTATATCAACTATAGGAATATGATATGCACCATATGCGTACATTTAATGAAACTTTTGTAAAAGCAGGTGTTACAGCACACATCCACGTTACTTGAACATTTATAGACATCACAGTTGGAATAGTTATCGATATGATCTAATTTATCTAGTGAACATGATTCAGGTTTATTTATCTTAGAAGTACTGAGATGACAGATGGCGAATAGAATAAAATGGTGACGGGTAGCGATGACGTAATTGGCTACGAGAATCATTGTGTGTAAGGTGTTGTAAGGTGCTTATTCAAGTCATTCAAGTCTAGGTGTTACTAGAATTTATGTTAGATTGTAGTAAAAAGAATGAAACTGCTTATTTCTATATATTATTCTTATTACCAGAACGGATTCTGCATTAACTGTTTTATTTAATGTACTAAAATTTACAGTTCAGGAATTTAGTTAAAGGTGATTCATTATGTAAACAGTATTTATTTTAGCCTAGTGAGACAGGTGGTTAGGATGAAATTAAAGGGGATAGGGTTTAATGATTATTTATTTAATGATTAATAATAGGAGATAATCAACAGGAAGTCGTATAACTAAGTTTCAGATATGCTGGTATTCATCAGTAAGGTGTATAGGTAGCTTTTAGGTTCACTTGGGTTGCTATGGTATTTCAATTCACAGCATGCCTACTGAATTCAGAAAATTTGCAATTGGACTATTCAGACAATAACTGTCTTGTGGTGAACTGATCAATGTGCAGTAAATGACTACCAAACGACCATCCATTTTATGCATCCAAGAGACAGAACCACAATATTTAATAAAAAATACAGAATTATGATATGTATTCAGGTTTATTATCACTCGGATATGGTTTAAACACTGGGCAGACAAATGCATTCAGGTATTCCATTAATTCGTTACATCAAAGGAACTCGGTATCAGCATTTCTCACCACAATGACGTCTAAGATGCCAATAGGGATTTCAAAAATGTGGGCCTAACATGTGTGCAGTATGTAATGCTGACACATTAGATACAATAATTAATTCTCAACCAGTAGACTGGTTGATTTTAATGACATTTGACTTGCGTTAGTGTAACTTATGACTTTGAGAAGTGTGTCAGTTTATTCTGTTTGCTATATTTTACGCACTGGAAAATAACAAATTAAATTAAATTAAAAGTCCTCTCTGTCCTCTGATTAATAGTAAACGTTTACTTTGTTGTACGAAGCATGTTTTATCACAAAACTTAAGGAAAACAGATTTAAATTCGTACAAATCCTTACTTAGCGCTTCTCATGCAAATAAAAATTTATTGTGTTTCATGGCTGATATATTTGCTTTCACAGTTAGAGTACTACAATGTAAGGAAACATATATATATATATATATATCATTATTTGTGTCATGTACCCGACTTCATGACTGAGTTTACATGAACGAACGCAGACTAAAGGTTTCCGTTTCTCCTTAAATATCTTATTCTTATTCACTGTCTGCTTACTGCGTAGAACATAGGGCCTTAGGCTTACTTCCTCACTGCTTTGAACTGGCCTTATCACTGTCCACAGACTTTCATTACCCCCTTCGCATGATTTCCTCTTTGCAAACCTCGGACGCCCAAGCCCATTCATCTTCCAGCCTAAAACCTAACCTGTGTTGTCAATTGAACGTCCATCTGCATTTCCTTCCGCACGCTTTTTGAAAAATAGGTCACTGAACAGTTCATTGACTACCAGAGTTCCTTGTTGCTTACATTCTTCACTAAGCCGTTTGATCTTCAGTAGTCAGTGAAGGCAGGATTGATGGAAATCAGCAGTACTCTGCTGGAAGTTCTTTCGCTGAAGTATATAGAAGCACTGACTCGACATTAGTATTGGAAATTCAGAACCTGCTCTTTGTGCTAAGTGTTGAATATATCTACACTGATTTCAAAGGGACAAATACCTGTCTTATTTGATCCTGGCTTTTATATCCTCATTCGTTACTTGAGTATTATGTCTTCATTTAATTATATGCTGAAACCACTATTTATATTTCTGCTGTGATTAGTAAGAAATCAAAACAAAAGGCTTAAGTATTTAATTCGTGACTCCACAGGTATTGATGTAACAGATTTCTTTTGGAGCCTTTAGTTATCTTCAATAACTTATTGGAAATCGAATTTGAAAGTAATGCAAAAAGTCAAGTATGTTGTGAAGATGTAGTAACAAAGAAATCCACTGTTCATCTCATTCTGTAACCGAGACAAGGAAAAATACATGATCATGACAATAAGTTAATTCTTTGTTTCTTCTTCAGACATTGGTTGTCATAGGTAAAAGACAGAAAATTCTTTTATCAAGGAGTAAAACGTCAAAAAATGTAGATTCATTCTTAAATCCAAGTTTAACAGGCTGACTTTTGTCCTCGTGTATAAAGAAAAAGAAATAAGATAAGAATTACTTCGACATAAGATATCTACTGTAAGGCAAATCATTGAACAATGAGCAGTGCGCTCACTTAATACAAATCTAACAATCATATTATTCACGTAATGTAATGTAAGAACAGAATTTTGGCACTGTGGTAGGATATAATTCTATATGAGAATAATTTTATTTCATGAAACAGATAGTGATGCAGTATATTATTTATGTAGTGATAATGTTTCAAGCACCATTTGCTACCCAAAATCCTGTCACCATGTATCACTGTGCCTTATCATATAAAATGCTTCTACCATTTCAAATGAATCTTTGATACCCATATATAATTGCAAATTGTATATAATTGTTATTCTTTCTTTGAAAATAAATTAATTCAAGGAACAGAAACAAGGCAGTGAATTAGTACAAAATATCGATGGTATACCAGCCGCAACTGTGACAACAAATAGGAGAAGTAAGTTGAACTCTTATTAATGAATTTGTTATGAAAAAAAAGAAGAATTTTGTGACTTTTGAATAATTCAATAATCTATAAGTGATATCGATGACACATTCACCAGTAAATAAAAAGTCAGCAGTCAACCAACAGAGTTCACCAAGTTGGGTAGGAGAACAGTTACTCACCTATGACACTGGTTGATGATTGCTCTACATACAGAGAGAATTAGCAGAAATTAGAATCCAGTGTCTACTGGATCTGGTCCCAGTGGATTAATGGTCTACGAGCTCGCAATATAATCGGAAGGCCTTGGATCTGAATCCCAGTGAGCATGTACTGGTGAGGAGTCTAGGATGACGATGAAAATTTATCCGATACTTCCTGGTTTTCCAGGGTTTCTCTAACTGACGTTAGCTCCTAACCATTCCTGTAACCAATCCGATTCTTGTAAACCAATACTTGAAAAGAAAATGCCTGGGACAAAATTCTGCTGGAACTATGAAGTGCTGCGGGTACGCTACTCCGTCTTATCGCTTAAATTAGTATATACAACTCACAACTGAATAAAACACTTAGATGATAGCCTGAAAAATAAAAAAAAATACTGGAAATGAGAGAAAACCGCACCACTGTCTTTATTACTAAAGGGTTCTTTATTATTACCTGTTGTTTACACCTGTAGACTGATCAGATTCACATGAGTTTCATTCATCTTATCTACATCAAATGCTGAGTTTTAAGAATGCTATTCGATTTCTAAAATCCAATTCATTATGTGAACATCAACAACTATAATGATATATCTTCCTGGGAAGTACATAACAAAAATCCGTTAGTTTTGGTTTTTTAATCTGCATTTTTCTCGTGTGTACTAACAGACGGCTTTTACCTACAATTTTCTGGGAAAAAAACCCAGCTGCCTGCAGTCGTCGATCGTGTTCTTTAGCGGAAAAAGGGATATCAATGGCATTTATGTGATTTTAACTGTTGTCTCGTGGAAAATTTATCCTGTCTCAGAGAACTCATCATTTTATTAATTAGTTATAGGTGAAAGAATATGAACAATTAAAAAAACAAAAACAAATTTATTAGGTGGCAAGTATTTTACTATTTTGAATCGTATGCAGCATTTTCCTAATTATTACAGTACAATTTATCTTCCTCCTGTATCACATAACCTAATTTAGCAGGATATGATCGATATTTTCCTACTGAACAGCACATGATAACTATTCAACAAGAAATTATTCAACTAAAGGAGGAGAATAAGACTATGCTGACAATTACTGATTTAAAGAATAATGCCCAGATATATGGAATTGCTGTTGTACAAATTAAAAAACAAATAAGGACGGGTCTCTATCAAGTTATATGCTCGAAATCAATCCCATCTGGTGTACTACTAGGTCCATTTCGTGTCAACGGAAGCATATACCGAAGTGAAGATGACGATAAGGAGTTTACAAATAAAAGTTCAAAATTACTTTCGGTAGGTTATTTATTAGTGATAACAATTTTACAATAACAATAAATAATTAGGTGAAAAATAAATCCTTTAAGAAATGAAATTAATAAATACTGGGAACAAATTTTAATTATGATATATTTGTTAGGCTGACTGAATTCAAGTTTGACGATATGAAGAAACAACACCTGAAGAACTGTAAAAAACGAAAAAATACTGGATGGTTGTTTTGTCCTATTTAACAACTTGTATTACAATCCTATGGAAAATTGAATTCATGGTAGTCAGGTTTCTTTACGATCATATGAACATTCATTCTCTGTATAGAAATTCAATAGTATATTAAAAAGCAATACGACGCTAAATCATTGGTTAAGAAATACACACTTTATTCAATTCAGTGTGGACCGAAGTGGCCAGCTTCTGTCAACATACCAGTCCCTTGTGAGGATGCTTCGATGATGTCTGAGGATTGAAAATGAAGGAGTTGAACACTTCGGTCTAACCAATCAACTGGAAAGTTCAAAATGAAATAAATAATAACTGGTACTCGTTGCACAAGTGGTCTAGTGGATAACGCTTTGGAGTTCGAAAGGTAAGGTACTGGATTTCAGCCTTAGTGAAAACACCATCAGTGAAGAACTCAGGTGCATCCAGATGACGAGTCCAAAGTAGGACGAACTGTGCACCGTAGATTCCACTGCTAGTCATCACCATCCACCAAAATACCTCACATAAAAGCTTTGTTTAAGAATTATGGATATTATATATCTAAATGCCTAAATCTTTTTAAATCACTGAATCTGAACTTAGTTTCGACTTTTACAAAGACTTTCAATGGAAGGTGCCTGACAGCTGTAAAAATTTCTGTAATCTAAGAAGTTTGATTTTAATGCAATAACTAGTATGCTATCACTAGGCCAAATTAAAAGATATAGATAAAAGTATATCCACTTGTTAAGATAGGTTTAAATGGACAGATCATATCCACTGATCTATAAGTAATACTACATGGAAATGGGATTCAAACTTCAGCTACGATATGAAGTAAAATATAGTGAATGACTTTTCACTTCTTTCTATCGTTATCCTGTATTGTAAAGACTTTCCTTTTTTGTTCAGAGTTCAACCACCACTAGAGTCATTCACTCTGTAATATTGGAAATAGCTATAATGCATACCGGTGCGTAAGGAACGTGCATTCATATACATATGTTAGTTCTAACTGATAATGCATCTTGTTTGGTACACTTTCTGACACATGCTGTGAGACTAACAGATCGAAACAATCTAACGTGTTAATTTAGATGTTTATCACTAAATTTATTAATTTAGTATTACTTCATTGCCTACTCATAAGTAGTTGAATTTAGTTTTCGTAAATGTTTAAGATAGCTTTTGATTAAATAGAAGTGAAAAGTTGAAGTTAAATACTAATAAATCTTTAATTTCCATCCGAATAAATGGGAAATCATTTTCTCCGATTGATTTAAAGTGGTTCACAATAACTTTATCAGATAAATGGATTTAAATACAATTTTAATCACAATGATAATTACTCATACTATTCTCCAAAACATCAATCCATGATCTCATGATGTGGTTCACAGTGATATAGGAAGAGAAATGATACGGTATCTCTGTGTGCCATATGGAACAAACCTATTCGTTTGTAGTTAAGTCTCATATCTGCATTGGCTATTAACTTTGTGCCTATCCTCCTAAAGGGGATAGAATGTGCAGTAATTTGTAAAATGGATTTAAAATTTTACAGGAAGAATGGATCTCTTCAGGAATATATACTGTTGATGAAGCACATCAGACACATAATTAAGATCAAGGAGGGATTCTACTGGCTGACACATAACACCTAGTACCTGCAACATTGAGTAGTCAAATTCACAATTTGAAATTGACACGGCTTCAGGCGAAGTTTCACCAGTTTCATTTGAAAACCGAAATTACTTAGATCACAATATGTAATCTGCTTGATAATACAAATGTTAGCCAAGAAAGCAAACACAAATCCATGAAGCTATGTACTACTGATTGACTGAAATGAGTAGCGGTATGCCACTCACATCAGCTAGTAACACTTAGATCACTGGGACCACATTAAATTGAACAATATTTGTTACGTTACTTATATTAGTAGTCACATCGTTTGTCTGATCAAGTGATTTTGAGCAAAACTTAGTATTCCGAACTAGTTTGTGCATAGCCTCTCATTATACTAATTAGTAGATGATGTTTCCAAGTGATCCTTGATTGGAACTTTTCGTAAAGTACTCATCAATCGATCTAAGTTTTCTTTTTCACATACATATTATGCATCACTCCGAAACGTGGTTGATCTTCCATTAATGTTGTCTAAGCTTGGTTTGTTCGTAGTAAACATTTCGACTGGTTACTCTTTCCGCATATGAATAGAAATCAGTTAATTGCGTTACTGTTGCAAACACGAGTAGTCTGGTCTTACTTAGTACACAACTTTATGGCCAATAAGTACTTTTATTTAACTGAGTTTCGTTTTATGAACTTTGTATGGTTGTTTTTCAATCTTGAAATTAATTTCCTCCAACCCACTGAATTTTCTTTATGTTATAAATGGCTGACTCCAGTTTCTTTGTGATTGGTTGATTTATTTTATCAGAGTATCAGTCAAGTTGTTTTCAGCTTGGCAATTTGAAGCTGTTTAAACAACACCACTGATACATATTAGTTCGCAGTGAATGGTTTCGATTTGCATAGCCATTTGCTTTATTTCTTTGAAGTTATTTTGTTAATAATGAGAACAAATGTCTCATATCGTCTACACAATGGAATTTCTGTGCGTAGATGATAAATTCTAGTGTCTCTTCATTTATTAATTTTTTAATGATCATGTTTGATTTACAAATAAGAACAACATTGATCCACAGTCTCAAAGCGTAACAAGTTTCACCAGTGTATCTGATTTAAAATATATTGCTGAAATTCTAGGAAATTCTAGAAGGAGGTTTATACAAAGAAATAAAACCCAGAAAAAAGATGCCATTATATATCATTATTGTTCCCTTGGGTTCCTAGTGGAACATAGGTCTTCAACTGCGCGTCTCCATTTGCTTCTGTCTTCTGCTGCACTTCTCACCTGCATCCATGTTAGTTCATACTGTTTCAACTTCTCTTCACATGATCACCTCCATGTCACCCTTGCACCGACGTCCCACACGCCACTTCCCTTTCGGGTTCCATTCGAGGAATGGCCTGATGCGCGCGCGATGTCACCCAGTGGCCTCCCCTTAGCGAGTGTCCAATCCATCTCCAATTTCTCCTGCATATATGTTGATTGGGCGACTGGTTCTTGTTTTATTTGTTCCCAACCATAGTCTCTTGTTGGTGATTCTTTCCGGCCCGGCCATCTGATATTCACTATAGATCCAGCGAAGACAGTTGTTAGTTGATAAAGGTAACGTCTGCAACAGGCTGTTGGAAATATTCTTTGTGACCCGCCACCCAAGTTTCTGATCCGATCCGTATAGAAGAACTGACTGACTTGACGTTTGTATTGAAAATCCGACCGACGGAATTTTGTTGTTGATGCTGGCTGAGTGACGAAGATTTCCAGATTGATTTCAGGCTGATGATTGTGTTTCTCGCCTTCCCCCGATTCTCGCTCGATTTGACATCCTCGTCCGTTCCGACTGCGTGTAGTTGAGACAATGCTCCCTAGATAAGTGAATGAATGAAGTAACCTCTTTCAAATCCCTCCCATTGATGGTGATTGGCACTGGGTGTTGCTGCTGTTGTTGATGTTGTTGTTGGTTGGTTGGTTATTTTCATAACCTCCGTCTTGTCTATGTTTACCTGGAGTCCTGTCTTCGCCAGATGCTTCTTCGACCAGTTTGTCGGTTTTCGCTTGTAAGTCTCCTATTTTTTGTGTGACATCAAACACAAATCATCCACGCGCGAAATCCAGGTCTTCTAGGTTCTTCACGTCTGTCGGTCCACGATATCCCTGTCTTCTCTTTTCCCACTGTCTGACGACACATAATCCAGTCAGTCCACCACAATTAGTAATATCTTTCATTGGTGATAACAGGCACCCTTGTCTGACTCCTGTGTTTACTCGAAACGCCTCTCTGAGTTTTCCGTTGTGTATCACTTGACATGTTCCGTTGTCGTACAGCTGTTGAATAGGGTTGATGAATATTTGGGCACTGTACGCCATAGTACTCGAGTAGTTTCCAAATTACTTCACGGTCAACGCTGTCTAGTGAAGGCCTTCTCAAAGTCTATAAAGTTGAGGTAGAGGTTTGATTGATGGCCATTCCATGCTTTGTTCTGTGATGATGATGCGTAGAGTTGCAATTTGTTCAGAACATGATTTGCCTGACTTTTCTGAATCCAGCTTGTTCTGGTCGGAGTTGTGTATTCAGTGAGTCCTTTATTCTCTCCAGGATGGTGAGACTCAGGATTTTATTTGGCGTTGACAGGAGCATGATTCCTCGCCAGTTCTTGCAGAGTGAAGCCTAATTCTCCCATCTTTGGTAGTTTCACGAAATAACCTTTCCTCCAGTCAGAAAAAGTGCTATAATGCAGCAGAATTTAAAAGTTTCAAGAGAAACATAATTCTGTGATGCAAACAGACAACAAAATTTCATGATTTAATGAAATAATTCAGCATTGAAATATCAAATCAATCTTCTTTTCTTTTTTAGATTAGTGATTCACAATCAACAACTGTAAACAGCCCAACACTCAACTCCTTCGAAAATGCAAATACATTATGGATGACATTAGTTCGTGACGTTACATCCCTGAATTCTCAGACACATCAAGACACTTCAGTGCATTCACAACTAACAATAAAGCCTAATATCACCATCATATCCTTATATGACGACGATAACAGTCAACTTAAATTGTACAATTTCGATAATGCTTATTTAAAGAATTTTCATTCAATAAATTCGCTTAACAATGAGTTGAATACCAACAGAATAATTTATTTTCAAACACAAAGATGTATTAATGCTGGTGAAGAATTTCTATTAAGGTTAGTTAGTTAGTTATTATTTCCTGTGATTTAACCTGTCAATCCTCTAAATTTGTCTAGCCTATTTTTTAAAAATTCTCCTTTTAGTATGAAATTAGTGTAATAAGACAAATTTGATTCACACCGCTGAGCTCTCCGAATGGAATAAATAACTCTGAAATGAGATTGTTAGATATTTTTATTAAAACATTTGCAGAATGTACGACTACTCCTGACATTTGAATGTATGATTTCCAGGTATTTTGCAACGATTTCACCAAAGTTTACTTTAATGCTACAGTCCCATGCAATTAGTCATCTGCAGACGACACAGTTTCGTCACTGTTTCTTTAGGGAACCAAAAATGAACCAAAGTAAATTAAGGTGCACAAAAAATACATTGTGACATACTGCTGAGTGGTGTGAGACGTTCAATAGACTCACATTAGGCAGGGGTGGGTGGGTGGTGTTGCTTGCCATCTAGACTCCATTGTTCATCTGTGAGAACTATATGATTTTGCAAGTCATTAAATTAAAATCCACATTTTTTTTGCATCCTGTTAGCCTATCTTGATAATAACTATTTAGGTTATTAGTTTTCGTTCTAAAAGAACTACATATAATCCCACATTGAAGAATTATTAAGCAGGGCTTGTCAGCAAGATCGTGTTGAGCTTTATTTTCACCTATGAAGTTAATTCCTTAATTTAACGCCCAGGTAATTCTCCATCTCAGAGACGTATCATCACAATTTTTACCTCATGAAGTACTTTAAATAAGTATAACGTGATTGTCTGTTGTTAGTGGTATTCTACGCTGATGTTTTAAACCTCAAGGACCTTCTGTAACTTGATAAATATCACGTATGCTGCTGCTGTTGCGTAGCCTTTAACCTTACTCTCTCATCCAGATCCCAGATAACTGATGTTAGAGCCAGCAGTCATGAATTACTTCCAGAATATGGTGAATTAGTTAGTGAAATTTCTTATCGTTCTTCCCTTCTGTACCATTCATGAGTTGAACCCATAAATTTGTCGGTGTGCAGTTTAAAGCAGGTTGTAGACTTTTGTTGATGTGCGGCATTTCTCTCTCCTCTACTTAGAGTATATATTAGTTATGAAGTGGTTAAACAAACTCCTTAACAATACATAGCACGATCGCTATTATTTAGTGACCTAATTTTCAAAAAGTTAGGACTGGTTTTTTTCAAGAGTTATACATTTTACCTCACAGTATCATACGTTACAAAACTAGTTTAACGTTTACAGTTTTATTTTCAACGATCGGTAGCTTATGATCAGTTACAAATAGTAGAACTATTCGGTATTGTGTGAGATCCCTTTAGGTTTCTTCCTAATGAAAGAGTGATATAATTCCAACGATTATCGTTCAGCATATTACAAGGTCTTTGTATCAGTGTACAAGAAGACCTCATAAAGGTTTGTCTGAAATTTACTGTCGATCACATCCTAAACAGTACTGGTTGTGAAAATGTTCTGAGAAGCGACAGACTTTATTTCTTTATCATACAGAAATTTACATAAGAAAATTGATGAACCTCATCTCAGAAGATAGTATTCAACTTTCTTCATATGTTACAATACAAAATCGTGTTTTTGATGTGGTTTTGTTCTCTGAGCTGGATGGTTAGTTTGCGAAGCTTTCATCGCCCTACTGGGTGACATCTTCAGCGCATACTTCAATTTGAAGTGAGCTTTTAGATTTCTCCACGAGTTTATTAATCATTCCTCCTGGTGACCTTGGACGTGATTGGTTGTTTATGTATGTTTTCACACCTTCTAGGTTACTTGTGTCTTAGTCAGGCGAACAACTACAGGAGAATTAGAAACTCAAGTCTATAGAATATCAACTCACACAGACCAAATACTGAATTACAACAGCAACAACCCAATAGCACACAAAAGGAATTGCATACAAACACTATTCAAGAGAGCAAGGACTCACTGCAGCACTCCCACCTTAAGGAAAATTGAAGAAAAGTATCTCATGGACGTCTTCCAAAAGAATGGATATCCACGGAATTTCATCAAGAGACATATACCCCCAAGCCAACCTACCAAAACAAAAGCCACCAAGGAAAACACAAAGAAAATCGCCTTACCATATATAAAGGATATCTCAGAAATCACTACAAGACTCTTCAAACCTTTAGGAATTGACGTCGTACACAAACCAACAAAGTCGCTGCACTCAATTCTATGTCAACCAAAAGACTCAACAGCGAAAGAAGACAAAACCAACATCATCTACAAAATAAACTGTAACAACTGTGAAAAACACTACATTGGCCAAAGTGGACGTCCCCTTCGTCTTCGTATCCACGAACATAAGCTAGCCGTCAAAAGACATGATATCCACTCCCTCATTTCACTACACACAGACAACTACGGACATCAATTCGACTGGGACAACGTTCAAATATTAGACAAAGGAAATAACAAGAATGCTAGAGAATTTTTAGAAGCTTGGCTGGTATTCCAGTGAGTCATCAATCAATAGACACATCGAGATAGACAAAATTTATCAACCAATGAGAAAGAAACTTCACACACAAAGGGTCAAAGTTCAAGTCAAAGAAACAACCGGTTCCAATACAAGTAACCTAGAAGGTGTGAAAACACACACAAACAACCAATCACATCCACTGTCACCCACCAGGAGAGATGATTAATAAACTCGTGGAGAAATCTAAAAGCTCACTTCAAATTGAAGTATGCGCTGAAGATGTCACCCAGTAGGGCGATGAAAGCTTCGCAAACTAGCCATCCAGCTCAGAGAACAAAACCACATCAAAATTATCCACCTGAGCTACAAATCTTCTCTATCATACAAAATCGTGTTTCAGGCTGGAAATAATCTATGTCTGTCCATAGATCGTCATTTGTATATGATCATTCGATTTGTAGTCAGCAAACTTATCACTTGACCTTCCAATGACTTTTAAGAGTGTTTGGGAACACAAAAAAATGTTAATTGATGGTTGGTGACTAGCAGTGGAATCCAGGATGTGCATTTCGTCCCATTTGGGACTCGTCATCTGGAGACACCCGCATTCCTCAGTGATTAATGATGTTCCCATCGAGGCTCCAACCCAGTGCTCATAGTTTCAAACGCCAAAGCGTTATACACTAGACCACTTAGGCCATGAGAGCCACCTCTTGTGCAACGAGTCATATTAATTATTTAATTGAATTTTAGATTTTCCCGTCGATTGATTGGACCGAAGTGCTCGATCTCAGGTTGACACGTGGGCTGGATTTCACTGCTAGTCACCATCCACAAATTTACTTCTTATTACATGCCCAGACATCGTCGAAGCATCTGCACAAGAAACCGACATGTTAACCTGAGACCGAGTACTTCGGTCCAGTCAACAGAACGGGAAAATCTTAAAATGAATTACATAAAAAGAGGTAAGATAAATATATTTCCATCTAAATTAATTAACTAATTATTTGAATATGGTTTACACCCTGAATACTGATGAAGTATACTTTTTCTCTAACCAAAGTGAAAGGAATCCTCTGGGTGATATGCATCTACTACTGAGCCATAAGAACGAAAATTGGTTGAATTCTACGGGGAATTTGTCATCTATCAACCTACCAAACAAAGCGCATGCGGAAAGAAACAATTCACATTTAAATCCATATTTTAATTATCCTAATGTATCTCAGAATGGATATAATGGATATGTAAACAAAATATACACAAACAATTCGAGCATAAAGAATTACACAGTAAGTGATTTACACCAGTCACTGCAAGCATCTAAGGTATTTTCTCAAAATGACTTTACACTTCAACAATTAAGACCTGAACAACAAACCAAAAGTTATGTAAAAACGAAACATTTCGATACTTCATTGTCAAGTTCATCCGACAAATCATGGGATAATATATTAAAGTTATCTGAAAATGAATATCAAAAACACAACAATAATTCATGCAATGAAACATCAGCATTCTCGCATGTGTCATTATCAATGGATTCTAACAATCCTTCTGTTGTTTCAACTACACCAACGTCTCTGATGGATTTTGCTACAGATTCTTCAAATGCCAGTGAATCTTTTAAAAGAACAGAAAATATAGTTAAAAGCCAGTTGAAAGCAGCTCATGAATTGGAAACAAGTCCAGGTAATTATCGATTGTACATAAACACAACTACTATATTTGATAGAGTTCCATTCTAGATCTAAATCCTAGAATAATATGAGTTATTCAGTTTTCATAGTTTTCATGTAACTTTGATCATAGATGGAATCTTTTTGATCACCACTGTATTTCTATTTTTGCATTAAAATCTTTAATCGGTGTAGATTAAAGATAAAATGGTTAAAATAAAGAGATGTTTGTAATTAAGTTCAACTTGTATATGTAGTACTGATGAAACTTATGCTACCTTAAGAGCTGCCAACTGGTCGCTAGTTGATGTTTATTGTCTCGTATTACGTTATGGAATGAACTCTAGCGCTGTATCACCTAACTTAATGACCACATTGCAAACTTAAGTGATAAACTGTGCGTCGGTGGCACAGTGGTTAGGACTCTCGGCGACCATGCACATGGTCCCGGGTTCGAGCCCTCGCCGACGCACACCTGATATCTATGGTTGGCCTGCGAAGTTTGGGCTACCGATATCCACGCTGAAAATTCCATACTTGTACCAAAAATACGGTGTGGAATTAAGCTGTAATAAATAAATAAATAAGGAGTTGTGGGCTACACCGGCTACCCTACAACGACAAATTTATGCACTAGCTAAATTATTCAGGATGGCGTTTGTTTGTGAACTGTTTTGAGTTAGAAGGGTGTAATGTAGCCACAATTATTATACTATTAGATAGTTTGGTGACTGTAATATTCAACATAAAGCTTGTCAATTAAGTTGAACTGATTTTTGTAAAATATTTTATGTTTTATTTTCCAGCACACGAAGGATACACTTGTGATCGTTGTGGGAAAATGTTTGCCTATCAATATTATCGTGATAAACACTTGAAGTATACAAGATGTATGGATCAAGGCGATAGAAAATATCCATGCAAACTTTGTTCACGGTATGTTTGTTTTATTTCAAGTCATACGCTGTAATTCTCAGTTAGTGTTTATCTGTAAGGTTGTGATGGAAAATAACTCACAAAAGTTGGCTTCAAAAGGCTTGACAAAAGCGAAATTTTCCAAGTGACATTTGAGGCATTCTATTAAAAGTGTGATAAACTAACAGTGTGATTGGTTCTTCTCACTATAAGTCTACTAATCTCATAAATGCTGTCATCATTCTATCTTCGTCACACACACACACACACACACACACACACACAGGTACTTTATGAATACTGCTAGTGTAAATAAGAGAGCATAAAATCAATTCAGGCAACTTCAGATTTCCCCCATATACTGATCCGTTCTTAAAATCTATCCTACGGGTTGTTTACACGTGATCTTCAGTATTATATCGGATAGAATCAACTTGTAATGAAACAATATTTTTGAAAAAATAGCAATTATTATAAACCATGATGTTTAGCACCTTAAACCAGGTTATGATTAGTTTTATTTTGGATAGTAGAAGTCAACATAGTACAACGTACATGCACCAAATTTATGAGTTTACAAGAAAGAAATAGGCATACTCATTAGTTTTCATCGCCAACAAAGATAAACTACTAGAGTTTAACGACTGATAACTTTACTACAGAAGAAGGTGAGGAATCGAACACGGTAAATATTTATATATCAAGGTAGGTCTAGAATCCTTGTCCTAGAAGATGTTTTTCTTTACGTCACGCCTACTTCTTTAAGCAGGACATTAAAACTGTTTTGTTTTGATACCCTTTTAGAAAGTGATTTAATTTTCTATATCGTCCAGTTAGTGTTTTTAAAACCCAGATTTTACCTTCTATTAGAAAATTATCCTCAAAATAAATAATGAATTAAATATTAATACTGAAGTTCAGTGCAAATCTGACGAATATCATGAAAAATAATTTCCAGGTAGAAGACAAATTATTAAGGAGAAAAAGAGACAGAAGTACTAACAGGACTATATTCGACTGACTGGCGAAGTATACTACTCAAAGTTATAACTTGTGGGGAGAAATACAGTAAGAACAAGATCAGCTGAGACTTAACACAAGTTTTTGAGTAGTTAATGATGATCTGTATACACTAAGGTCCACATTTTGCTCTTGCGAAACCAAATCAGCCATATATGCGACGTTGAAGTTGTAATTATTGTAAGAATTCCTCAATTCCTCGTTATGTTTTTGCTTAAGGTCAAACATGACTGGAATAGCTTACTGATCGATTCTTTGATTCTTATCATTACCTCACAAGAAACATAAATTTCCCATTGGTTTCACATTCACTTTACAAATAAATGAGAATAAAAAGAACACCAAATTAAGTGGAATTTCCCATCTGTTGATTTCCAGTGCTTATATCACAGAAAATTAAGTGTAGTGTAGGATCAACAAGCTATGTAACTATAGTGACAGTTGGTCGATATATTTTTGCTAACATTTAAGACTCAACAACTAGATGGACTATCATGGTGTATGTATTACTGATTGACATGAGTTACTGAAAATTACTCACGTCAAGAGGAAGCGCTGACTAACGAGGTTACAGTGATCTAAACATCGTAAAACCATTTCTCTTGTTTGCGACTGACTTTACCACAAACTGTGTAGTATCTAAGCAACGGATTTGGTTTTATATTTACTGTCAAATGGTGACCAGTACATATGTTGGAAGTGTTTAGATGAAGTCATTTTGAAAGAGTAGAACATACACTGTAAATCTGTCCGATAGTCAGGACCATTGTCTGAAATATTTCTAAAATCCGAAATTACTATGATACTAAGACCTATTACACATGTTTTGTCTTCTTTTAATTTAAAGGTCTTTCGAGAAACGCGATCGATTACGCATACATGTATTGCATGTTCACGAGAAGCATCGACCACATAAATGCCATTTGTGCGGAAAAAATTTTAGTCAATCATCAAGTCTAAATAAACACTTACGTGCAAGTTAAAATATTTTCATCTAATTAGTATTTTTGCTTTTTTAAATGAAATTTTCCGTCTTGATTTTACAGATTTAGTCATTTTGAATATATACTTGAATGTCACAATTAATTAATTTAGCATTAAGTCAGTGCGTTAACCTTCATAATAACATATATGTTATCAGTGTGAAGACAAAAACAAACTTTTATTCAATAATTACAAGTTGGAAAGCTGTTTCAGTCAATGTAGCTCACAGCTAAATATTACCACATCGTATGCACTTCAAATGCATTTGATTGAAAATACCATGATTTTATTTCATTTTTTAATTTTTGATTACAGCTTGATTCCACACAGTACTTTTTGGTACAAGTATGGAGACAGAACTCCGACCAGAACAAGCTGGATTCAGAAAAGTCAGGCAAATCATGTTCTGACCAAATTGCAACTCTACGCATCATCATCATCACAGAACAAAGCATGGAATGGCAATCAAACCTCTACCTCAACTTTATAGACTTTGAGAAGGCCTTCACTAGACAGCGTTGACCGTGAAGTAATTTGGAAACTACTCGAGTACTATGGCGTACAGTGCCCCAAATATTCATCAACCCTATTCAACAGCTGTACGACAACGGAACATGTCAAGTGATACACAACGGAAAACTCAGAGAGGCGTTTCGAGTAAACACAGGAGTTAGACAAGGGTGCCTGTTATCACCAATGAAAGATATTACTAATTGTGGTGGACTGACTGGATTATGTGTCGTCAGACAGTGGGAAAAGAGAAGACAGGGATATCGTGGACCGACAGACGTGAAGAACCTAGAAGACCTGGATTTCGCGCGTGGATGATTTGTGTTTGATGTCACACAAAAAATAGGAGACTTACAAGCGAAAATCGACAAACTGGTCGAAGAAGCATCTGGCGAAGACAGGACTCCAGGTAAACATAGACAAGACGGAGGTTATGAAAATAACCAACCAACCAACAACAACATCAACAACAGCAGCAACATCCCGCCAGCGTCAATCACCATCAATGGGAGGGATTTGAAAGAGGTTAGTTACTTCATTCACTTATCTAGGGAGCATTGTTTCAACTACAGGCAATCGGAATGGACGAGGATGTCAAATCGAGCGAGAATCGGGGGAAGGCGAGAAACACAATCATCAGCCTGAAATCAATCTGGAAATCTTCCACTGTCACTCAGCCAGCATCAACAACAAAATTCCGTCGGTCGGATTTTCAATACAAATGAAGTCAAGTCAGTCAGTTCTTCTATACGGATCGGATCAGAAACTTGGCGGGCGGGCGGGTCACAAAGAATATTTCCAACAGCCTGTTGCAGACGTTACCTTTATCAACCAACAACTGTCTTCGCTGGATCTATAGTGAAGATCAGATGGCCGGGCCGGAAAGAATCACCAACAAGAGACTATGGTTGGGAACAAACAAAGCAAGAACCAGTCGCCCAATCAACATATATGCAGGAGAAATTGGAGATGGATTGGACACTCGCTAAGGAGGGAGGCCACTGGGTGACATCGCGCGCGCGTCAGGCCATTGCTCGAATGGAACCCGAAAGGGAAATGGCGTGTGGGACGTCAGTGCAAGGGTGACATGGAGGTGATCATGTGAAGAGAAGTTGAAACAGTATGGATTAACATGGATGCAGGCGAAAAGTATAGCAGAAGACAGAAGCAAATGGAGACGTGCAGTTGAAGACCTATGTTCCACTAGGAACCCAAGGGAGCAATAATAATAAATAATAATGGGATTTTCAGCATGGAAATCGGTAGCCCAAATTTTGCAGGCCGACCATAGATATCAGGTGTGCGTCGGCAGGGGATCGAACCTCGGACCATGTGCATGGTCGACGAGAGTTCTAACTACTGTGCCACCGACGCACAGGTAGGTTATGATTTACGTGCTTTGTGACGCCAGTGTGACAGAAGCAAGAAGGATTCATCAATCAATTTGAAACTGATTTCAAATCCAAGTATACCAGTGAGAAGCATAACCGTCAACAGTTTGGTCACTATAGCGGTCACAGGTATACAGCGCTAAGATGTTTCATTTTATACTGATGGTATTTCATTAGCAGTTTTTTAAATTCCATCATGAGTGGCAAAAGTTAATCTCCTTTACATGATTATATGACAAGTATCGCCAGCGGTATTTTTAGCTCATATGATTATTAGAAGCCTACATTATAATCGATGGTTTTGTGTCCTCGGCTGTATTTTAAGTTTTTTTCTAGTTTAGTACACTGAAGTACAAAGTCACTGAAGACCCTGTGAATACCAAAAAACTATGAACTTTTTCATAAAAGACCTCAGGAGGAGAGTGATTGATAAATTTTACCGGCCAGGTTATCGACTCATTATTAATACCACGATACACCCATTGACTGGGCATTGGTTTTCAGGAGAACCAAACACACGCATCCCCGCCTTTCGCGAGACGAGAACGGCATGCAGGATCAACCTGTGGCGCAACCACTCGAGAGCCCTCTCCCTCAGCTCATTATAAATCCTCCATGCAATCAAACAAAATCCCTACAAAAACCAATACTTGAAAATTCATTATTAATAGTTGATTTTTATGTGCAGTGATGCAAACAGTAACTTTTTCCAGTGTATTTGGGAAAGATTTGGACTTCAGTAAGTCAAAAGTAATCATAAGCGCTGACTTCATCAGCTGTATTAGTTCTAATTCATTAATTTGTAAAGACGAAGGCAAGCATTTATACTGGTTGCTGTTAAGCATAGAAAAGCGAAAACAAAAGATAACAAGGTGATAAGGATGAGGGCAGAGTAGATTTTCATTAATACCATTGGCCGAGGTGATGAGAATTACAACCTATCCATTTCCTTTAATTCGTAAATCCCAATCCCTACGGTCAGAGTTTAAAGACTTTATGAACTGGTAGAAAACACTCTTGGCTCTATTTTCTCTTACCTCAAAACAACACATCAGTTAGCAATTAATCAATAGTGTACGCTATTATCAACCAAGTGATCTTCTTTATCCAAGACTCTGGAGCCAATAACAACACGGCTAACATGATGATTCCACTGGGATGTACTGATTCTATTGAAGTATCGGTAGAAAAATAATTAATGAAAAGAGCAAAATGAGCAGTTCAGCTTAGAGGTTCTTTTCTGATAATTCGGGGGAATTCTCCCAATCCAGTAACAATTCTCAAAACAAATTAAATAGATTTTTATATAATTTATTATTGTTGTTTTTTGTCATGTCTAGGTACACAGTGGTGAACGGCCTTATAAATGTTGTTATTGTAACAAAGCATTTACTGCCAGCAGTATTCTTCGGACACATATTAGACAGCATTCAGGAGAAAAGCCGTTCAAAGTAAGAGTATTATTATTATTGTCATTGTTGTTAATATACTACTAACAACACTCGATGAAGATAATAGATAAATATCTATGGATGTATGTAGCAGTAAATTTCAGTGTACATTCTTACACACCTTTATTAATCTGCTAAATGTGGTAAACATAAATGTCATTGAATGTCACTTAATTTTTACCCCCTCATCTAATGCACCCAAATTTTGTAAAATAAGGTATCAAAATGTGAGACAGTATTTAATTCTCCAACACTCAGGCTCAGTTTTGTAAGATAAGGAGTGATGACTTGTGTAATAGGAATGATTCAACACCTGTCCCAGATATCTGGAAAATTCTACTACCTCTACGACAAATAGGAGAGAATGAAGAAAACTGTAAAACTCAAGTTTCGAAGTTGTGTGATCATAATTGATATGATTATGAACAGCAATAAATTGTGTTTGAAACATTATCCAGCGAGTAATACTGTTTCACTCTGTGATATATCTAATAAACAAACTAATGTGGAACTACTTACTACCACAGTGCTCAAGTTTTACACATACATTAATAAGGAGTGATGACTTTCTTGTAAATTGTAATTTACTCTCTTCATAATCATAAGTAGTCAGTTTAGCATAAAAGTACTTGATATTTTTGAAGTAAATAAGGTTAATATTTATGAGAAACAGTGTTACATCCCACTAATAAAAATGATCTAATCCCAGTAATAAGCATAATCGAACCCCGGTGGGTGCGTACTGATGAAGAGTCCCAAACTAGGACGAAACAGCTGTCCAGTACTCCCAGTTGGTTTTCAAGTGGTTCTCTAACTGATGTCAACTCATGATTAAATCCTCCATGTAATCTAAAATACTCAAAAAATATATTTTGGTAGAGTGGTTAATTATGAATGAAATAAATATTGATTTCTATTGGTAGGTTAATAAAATGAAAGCATGGTGTTACATTCATTGAATGACTTTAAATTCTCCGTTATCTTGTTTCATAATTTGGAAATACTTGGTCTTTGTTGGCCTATTGGCTAGCAGTATAGATACTTTAGTGATGCCTTGACATCGATTTTGTGCCATTTGGTTGATAATTGCTGGCGGCAGAATCCAGGAAACGTGCTTCTTTTTATTTAAGACTCGTCAAGTGGGCATAACTGAATCAAAGATCTTATATTCCATTGGTAGCCATAAAGAAGCCTATTGAAATGTTTTATCAATAGGCTTCGAAACTACAAAGGTAATAAAGAAGTATGAAAGAGAAGTACTTGCTTTTACTGGAGTGTACTATCTGTCAAATAGTATCTCATCAGTCCGCTCCGTCCTCCTTTATGGTTGTGAGACCTGGCCACTGAGAGTGGAAGACATGAAAAGACTAGCTGTCTTTGATCATAGGTGCCTGCGTTCTATTTCCCGTGTAAAGTGGCATAAAAAGGTGAGCAACATGGAGGTTAGGCGTAGAGTTCTAGGTAAACAGGGGAAATCAATCGACGAAGTCGTGAAGCTACAAAGACTGAGATGGTTAGGACATGTGTTACGTATGCCAAGCCATCGCCTCCCTCGACGAGCTATGTTAGCGGATATAGGGTCAGACTGGAAAAAAACTAGCGGCGGTCAAACAAAAACTTGGCCGAACCAGTCAATGAAATCCACAACAGTTGGTCTAAGCCACGTAGAAAGGTGTAGACTTCCAGGCTGGGGTCCTCGGGACGGTAAAAATCTATGGTTGGAAACAATTGGTGACATGGCTCAAAATCGTTCTCAGTGGCTAACGCAGATGCATCCACTCCTTGTGACTTATGATCTTCAATGAAACTGTTTTGTGTTTCTTTATTACTCCTTTGTCTCACACCTCTGCTCACTGTTTCTATTATGCTTTTCTTGTACTTTCTTCTCTTGCTTCGCGTGCTACACGGAATGTGGCGACTTGAACTTCAGCACATTTGTGCAAAATTCTATGTCGAAAATAGACAGACAGACAGACAAATAGTATCAGATGTGTCAGTCTTAGTCATTCCATTAGAATAAATTCAGAAAATGCAATTGGCTTCAAAACTTATTCCCCTTTTTTTATTTGTTTCGGATAACTCCCATTATCACTGTGTTGTTTATCTATAGTTGCATAGCCCTACATAAGTTAGTTGGCTTAAGTATCAGTTTTCGTCTTTTAGTTAAACATTTAAATTTTCTTTCTTTTGTTTAGTTTACTGGTATTTGTTAATACGCGTCTGTTTACTTCAGATTATATTATGTGAAATTCTAATGACGTCTTTTAGAAGCAGATTTTTCACTTTAAAGAATATAACCCAACCAGAATCCTTATTTTGAATTGTTCATTTGTTCATTTCTGGCTTAGATGTATTCCCTCATATGTGAACCCTGACATACGCTTAAATTAAGCAACTCTGTTTTTCATAGTTTAATACTTAAGAGAAAAGATTCTATTCTTTGTCCTAATTCTGAGAATAATGGCTACACTGAAAAATAATGTGGTTAATTGAGGTTTTATCATGTCAGTTATCATTCTTAGACCATAGAAGCTATTCATAATCTAGTATACGGATCCTATTGTAGTAGTGAAGTTGTGCTCACATTTCTATTGAAACATAGATTTTGATTTAATGGGCCGTGCATAACACTTGAGAGTAATTTTAGTGATGATGTGTCACCATTTCATACATAACTAAATTCAAGAGAACTATTTGATTGTATTGTAACGACAGAACACAAGGACCAGGCAACAGGTCGTTTATTGAGAAAATCAACAGATATTTACAGATTTTTATGGACATTATCATTAGCGTTATTGTTGGCAGAGAGGCAACGTCTTCTGATTGGTTGTTTTATTGCTGAGGGTTATTCTCTACTGCATGTGACTGTTTTTCAGAAAGTTAAGTCGTATATCTGCGAATCATATTTGCACACATTAAGTTTTCTGTGATTGGTTGATGAGTTCATCAAGACTAAGTTTTGTTATTGTTTTTTCTCATGACCCCGATTCGGGATATAAACAATGACGTAAATTGCTGTCTACAGTTTTTGGCTTGCAGACAGCTTTCACCACAGTATGTTTTTATAAATATTAGGTGCTATGTGGATGACAGAGATTTTGAAATACCTAATGTTCCTAAAAATCTCAGCCTGTCTCCAATATCTCATTTACAGTAGACTTGTATACATCCACTTACTTTAGCAGAAAAGTAGTGAGAACAGCTTTGTTTAGAATTTTTGTCAGTTGTATACAGTATGAAAGTCGCTGTAAGATATCCTGACATACTTTTAAATGAAGAGTTTGTTCATTTTTGAAGAGTAAGGAAGCTAACATGGTATCCACAGTAAACAATGGATTAAGATGATAAAATTTTGAACCAAGGTGAAATCGATTTGTATTACAAGAAGGAGAATATTATTTAACTGGACAGACCAAATGAGAAGCAAATGGAAGTACTGGTATATGCATCAGAAGTGGTGATTATCTTATCGAAATGATAAACAAGTGAGAACGATGAAAGATAACAGTATTACTAACAAAAACAATAAGAATAAACTCTGATTGAGAGTGACACTGAGTTTAGTTACTAAGGAAAAAAGGAAATTAATGACCGTTATTGAGGTTTAGTGAGTTAGGAATTTAATAATTCCCATTGTAACATTAAGAACACAGTATTCATCGAAGAGACTCTTTCCAGTGAATTTATTATCAAGCTGTAAGATTATATCCGGTGAGGGAATCGAATCAAAGATGTGAATACATGAATCAATAATAGTATGAAATGCAAATAAAATGTGTGATTATAATCACATTTAAATGTCAAGTGACAAAACAATTAATGTTATATATAGAATAATTGTTAAGATGTATAGCTGTTGGAAAGGGCATATAATTACAGGGTTAGTAGGCTAATACAAAACGTTATGCAACATGGTGTGAAACTTGAAAAGATAGGATTTAACATTGTAAAGATATTTTTTGGATTTAGAATGACAGGTGGGATAAGTGGAAACGATTCAAAGTGACGGTGATAATATCAACCCGTGATCAACTCGTAAAAAAGAACTAACCCTTACAAACCAAACTATAGAGTGGTAATAATAATAGTAATGAAGGAAATAAACAAAATAAATATTAAAATAAATAAATGTCTATACCTCTACAGCCAAGGCAGAAGTCGGGATTGCACATACTTCTTTTGTACACAAAGTTCACGAATGACCAAAGCCCCCACTATCTTTAGAATTTCATAACGAAGAAAACGTGGCAAGTTAGCACGGATTCGATAGATGATCTACGGTTGGTAGAGTGACAGGAGTCGATAGTGTTCTAGAATAGATCCTCACACACCCTTCCTTTATCCCTTATGAAACCATGCTGGAATATGTTCTCGTATATGTGTGGAAGGTGTTCTCTGGCTACGGCCAATGTATGTTGCTTCAAAAGATCAGGTGAACTGATAGACGCGCGTGGAGGCGGTCAGATGAGCGAGCGTATCTTTTACACAGGTGAAGAATAACTTACGTCTGGTGAACATCATTTGTAATTTAGCAGCAAAGGACGTTTTACTGACTGATTTAGAGACAGTTTTTGAATATATCTGCAGCTTGATCACTTTTGAATTCCAAGTTCATGAATATGGCTTTCTTTGATACTGAGTCGGTAACATTAAGTTAGTATTCGTTTACTTTTGATCATATAATCCAAGTCTAACTTTTTGAGTGACACTGGATATTTACAGCTTAGTAGAAAATTTTCTTGTGCTCACCACAATAAGAGATTTCAACATGTCGACATGGCATACATATTGAATACACGAAGGTCATTCTGCATAGGTAATTCTTGGTTGGCATTGATTAGAATCTATAGCAATTTATACATTTATAATAGTTTAGATAGAGATAAGAACCTTGATCTAACACTGGTTGATAACTAAAACATTGGTGATCTGTTGAATTACTTTCATTTGTAAGGATCTTCTAATATACCTTTTAGAACATGTGAATCCATTTCAAATTTAAATAGTTTTTTAAACATAGATTTTCCTAAACTTAAAATTCGAAACATCTGCATTCATTAATGGCTGAGAAATCTTGGATGAATACTGTTTGATAACTATTAACAGGTTCATTGTGTTACATATTGTGCACGTAGATATCTTTATTTCATTGAAGCTATGGACGCAGTTTGATAAGCGAAATAGCTAACCTTCCTATTTATAGCAACTCTGCTTAATTTAACTATTTTAGACTTTACAATTACACGCTACTCACTATTTGTAAGTAGTATCATTAGTATTCCGTCATTTTATCCGTCATTTATCATTAGCCGAACATTCAAAGTGCTATTCAGTGTAGATGTTTGATTTATCGCCACTTCGTTTCTATCTGACCTCCTTTCCCTTCATTATTCCCATAAGTAGTACGCCTTACTTCTTTAATCATTGATGATCTCATATTACTTTAGCTGTTTTTCATGTCCAGTTTGTTTGTGTGTACGACATCTCCATTGATAACTGTGTAATCTTTAATCATTTTGTTGTTATACCACTTCACATATGTCTGTTGGCCAGGATAATCTGAATTCATTACTAACACTTTCTACTGTGTGAGAAACTCTAGTAAATCGAATTAATGGATGTCATGCTTTTGTGATTATTACACATTAGCTTCAATTGCAAATAATTCCTAACGTGCAACTTTGATGTTTTTATGCATCATTTGAGAATTAGGCTTTGTCTTTTTGTACAACATCTTCAGTAATGGTGATGCATACACCAGCTTAAGAATTATAGCAGCAAGCCGATGTGAGAATTTTGTTCACTGAAATCCCTTGTTAGCACTTTTAGATGCATTCTACAAATCCTGTGAATATGTTATAAATTCATTTATTTGAAGTGAATGAAGTTCTAGAAGGCAGTAAGAGATTGACAACGAACAACTGATACAATCAAGTATAAAACAAACAGAATAATAATAAAGTGGAAAATTTTAACTAGGAAGATTGTATTCCTTAGCCATCTTTTAAAATGATGAAGTGTCGTTATATTTAAACCAACTTAACAGGAGTTTTCAGTTTGAAAATAAATTCATTCACTGGATTGAATGTTGAAATTTCAGGTTTAATATATGTAGGGCAACTGTTTATAAAAAGCATATAACAGCATCAGAATTCACTGCTATTTGATTTGGAAATAATAAACTAAGATGGATTATTGAAAAAGAGATGGAAAGAGAAAGATATACCGAGATACTAGTCTCAGAGGGCTCACATCTACTACTGTCATTTTCTTGATAATATTGATATAATTGATAATATTGACTTTTTAATGGAGATATTTAAAAGAGATTCAAATGTTATCAAATTCCTTTTAATTATTTATAACTCTAGTGTAAATTCTGTTGGAAACCATTTGCTTCGCATGCAGCACACGATAGTCATGTACGCAGAACTCATGCTGTAGAAACCAAAATATCAAGTGTGAATCAAGCATCCCAAGTGGATAAATTTTATGAATCAAGAATCACAAGTAATTCAATAAAATCGAATATTGAATTCGGGCATACAATGGAATGACACACTAAAGCAGTAATGTGGTAAGTTTTTTGATTTAAAATTATTCCATTATATTCTTAAACCTAACTGTCCTTATTATTTAATATTGTACAAAAGTTAAAACAGTATTTTAACGGCTACTGTGTAGTGAATCAAACCTATGTGTTGCATAAGGTTAGTTCTGACCACAAAATTAGGTTGGTCTAAATGATATCAACTTCTTTAGAAAATAAGTGGCGATGAGATCACTGAGAGGTGAGTAGTAAATGTCTAAACTCAGAGAACACCAAACATTATTCATTATCATAACGGACAATATACATTTTCTTTATGATTACGAGTATTTACAACAGACTGAAAAGTCACTTTCTGTTACTAAATAGATCTTATACTGGGTAAGCGAGGTACCACTGATGACTAGGCATTGTAAAACATAACCATAAATTGACTCACTATTATCCTACAACTTACAAGCTTTCAGCCATGCTGAAGAATGTGACTTCTTAATTACTTTTTGGTAATAGTGTAATGACAGAAGACAAGGTCAAGACAACAGATCGTTTATTGAGAAAATCAACAGATACTTTTAGATTTTTATGGACATTATTATTAGCGTTATTGTTAGCAGAGAAGTAACGTCTTCTGACTGGTTGTTTTATTGCTGAAGGTTATTCTGCACTGCTTGTGACCGTTTCTCAGAAAGTTAAGCCATATACCTGCGAATCTTACCTGCACACGTTAAGTCTGTTGTGATTGGCTGATGAGTTCCTCAGGACTACGCTTTATTATTGTTTTTCTCATGATCCCGATTCGGGATGCAAACAATGACGTAAGTTGTTGTCTACAATTTTTGGCTTGCAGACAGCTCTCAGTACAATACTTCCTTAATTTACAACCAATTAAACTGTGAAGTCTCTGAATGCAATTTTATTGTCCCACCTCAGTCATTCTGACTTAAATCGATTTATGTCAGTGTCAGGGGATCCATACTTTATTGAGAGTGCAGAAATTAGTAAAGTTTAAGATTAGAAGTTATTGCCTGGCTAGTAATTACTGAAGGTAACTGTTAGTCAATACGATGAAAGTGCTATGTGGAAGGTAGTCCTAATCTGATTCACACACTTGATAACACACCCTAAGATATCTCAAGTGTCAGACGTCCTACAGGTAATTTATTTAGCTAGTGTTTAATTACTTCACAACTTATCTACTTATTCTATACTTATTTAAATTATGTGTCTGAAACGTACTCTATCAGCCTGAAAATCGAATCTCAACTGGTATTTCAGATAATATTGTAACAACAGAAGACAAGGGCGAAGCAACAGATCGTTTTATTATGAAAATCAACACGTATTTATACATATTTCACATACATTATTATAGACAAGCGCAGTCATCTGATTGGTTGTTTATCAGAAGTTAGGCAGACAAACGCAGGCTTCTGATTGGTTGTTTCGGGATTCCTTGACAAATAGAGTTCTCTATCTGCGAATCATATTTTGCCACGTTAACTTTTCTGTGATTGGTTGTTGACTCAGCCTTGTTCATATTTTCTCACGGCCCATATTAACGTAGCTTAGTGTCAACCAATCGGCTAGCAGCCTGCTCTCACCACAATATATGTTATTCTAATGTGGAAAGTGAACTTCACTATTTAGATTACTGATATTTTACATAAACCATTTTTTAATTATTCAAGAATTCCTAAAATTATTCCGTGATCTATCTTTTGTTTACAGCTTTTGCCATGAAAAGATGCTTAACATCTCTTACAGAATCTGCGTCATGCAACTATGATAATATGAGAGGAAGCAACAGTTAAAATTCTTCAACAACATTCACACATATCCGCAGTTTAAAAATTCAAAACACCTTTGACTTTGATTCAATAGTCAGTTTTATTTTTTGTTTTTCCTTTCAATAACTTATCTTTAGTCTGACAGTTATTCTTTACCAAAAATGTTAGTCATTCCTATTTAGTGTAAATATTTATTTTAAATAAATTCCCAAAATCACCAGATCTTACTTTTTTCTTAGTTTTGCATTTCTCAGCTGAACCGTAATTCAGTGCTTTTTAACTTTTAATTTTGGGTAGGATGAAAGTGAAGGTGGACTGGAGTAAATAGGAGCTGACAAAAGTGCAAAAAATAAGGCTACCACATATGAAGAAGTCAAAGTAAATCTAATTGTAATAACATTCCAGTAAATAATTCTGAGTAGAACAGATGAATGAATAATCTTAATAATGGTTAGGGTGAAAACTTCCGAAATAGTGAGTGAATGCACTACCTTGACTGTTATCGACTTTAAACCACTTTATACATAGTCTCCAGCTATTTTTTTTTCACAATTCAAGAAATTCGACCAGTTAGATTACACTTTCCCATACAACTGCAGTGAAGGAGATGCTCATATCCTTCACTATGTCAATTGTTCACTGAAAATACAATGTTTAGATGCATTTATTGGTCTGATACAGCCAACAAACTTGACTGTATGCCTGTGTCACATTAAACGCCATATTATTATTTTTTTATTTTTGATTACAGCTTGATTCCACACTGTATTTTTGGTACAAGTATGGAATTTTCAGCATGGGTATCGGTAGCCCAAATTTTGCAGGCCGACCATAGATATTGGGTGTGCGTCGGCAGGAGATCGAACCTCGGACCATGTGCATGGTCGGCGAGAGTCCTAACCACTGTGCAGAAGATAAAGCAATATCTCGAAATAAGCAACCAATTACAGCTACAAAATAGACGACTGAGTGAAGATACAAGAATAAATTGGCTAAAAAATAATGAAATGACAAAAATGTTTTTATGAAGATGACTTAGTGAGAACAAGTGGACATCATGATATAAAAATGGAGAAGAAAAACAAATATTAGTCCAAAGTGTGTAGGAAGGGTTTTTTTCTGTATTTTCTGCCACAGAAAATGCTGATTTCCTGCGAATAACTGAAGATGCTGTGACATCTAAAAATCACACGAAGTCGGACTCCTTTTTGGTGTTTATAGCTCCACAGGTTTGCGGACTTCAGAAATCATGAAGTTGAAGGTTTATAAGCATGCTGCTGAAATCAAACCAATACATTTCGGGAATTCTCAGTGAAGAACGACACTAGAGTGTGCGCGCGTAATACTCTATTGACAAGGCAATCACCCACAAAACTGAAAGCAAAGTGTGTCTTGAAATTCATAGATTTCAAAAATAACTCAGGGATGGACAGTGGTTGGTTGGTAGGCTTAGAGAAGTGACATTTCGCCACTTCATTATGAGCGAAAAAATTTTTCTGTACATTTATAGCGATTTTGATTGATGCATGAAAAGTGGTAGCGAAATTAGATATAATGAGACCTGCAAACCTAAAGTAACAATTATTTTTTGTGACATTATTTGACCAGTTTAACTTATTCAGACAAGGGCCGATGAAAGGAAACTTGGTATATATCAAGGCATAACTCAAAAGCTGTCATCAGCGACCTGCTTTAACTTTGGTCTACTAAAATTTTCCATCATTTATACTGTGTCTAACTTCTCGGACTTATTTTGTTTAAATCATGCATTTATGTGCTCAATCGTACTAATTACCCTGGCGATTATTTAAAATGTTTTCAACCGGCTGATTTATGAATTCCTGATAAACTTAAGAGAAAAGCATCATGGTGGTTGGCGAAAATGCATCAGATGACTTTTCGTGTGATTGTGAGCACAAATTGCAAGTCTTTATCGAACAAGATTAATTAATTTCATGCTGTATTATGTTCAACTGTTTATTGTAATACAAGTGTAATAACGCTTCAGGAAACTTGGCCCCATGATTCATCTGATGACAGTTTAGCCTCCATGAATGGTTTCACTGGCGAAGTACAAGAATAGCGTCCCAGGAGTGCGAACGTTCAAATGACCTTGAACACATGCTAGTCGTTGGCTAACGGTCCCTGCCATTATCATAGCTGAAATATCAACCCTATTCATCAAATAAGGAGCAAGTTTCACCCAGATAACACTTTTAATTACTGTTTGGACAATGTGTTAACATCTCGTTAGGGTTAGGATTAGGGTTAAGGCGAGTATTGGGGTTAGGGTTAGGGATACAGTCATAATTGGGACTAGGGTTAGATTTACGGCAGGATAAGGATTGTCATTTGGGTTAGGATTAAGGTTAGGGCCAGTGTGAAATTCAGGGTTAGGGTCGGGATTAAGGCTAGGGTTGGGATTAGGAATAGATTTGTCGTTTATTTCAACTTGTTTTATTATCCTCATTTTCCTTGTATGTAGTCGCCAATGCTCTTACTGAAACCATTGTAACTTAACCGAGGGCTTTGGAGAGGACTACACAGCAATGGAAGAGAGATGAACAATTCACAAAACAGCACACCTTCAGTCACTTTGGTGAATACATCTACAGAAACTAGTCCAAATTAGCAACTGATACTCTTCATCGCAACTGAAACGTATTTTTAAGTCATGTCAGAGAAATACACTCCGTTTAATGTGTTTCCATGCATTTTCTTGTGAATATACGTCATTTTTCGTGCGAAAATTCCTCATTTTTATGATTGGCTGCCTGAAGGTCACTCGTGCGTTCGCATCCCTTGGGACGCTATTGTTGAACTTTGCCGTTTCACTATGTAAAGACTAGACCGACACAGTTCTAGGAGGAAGCGAGGTGGTGCACGACCATGGTGCATGGGGCCACAGAGCAAGAAGGAATCTCAATCTAGGAAGTAATGCAATCGTGAGGATTCCCAGACAGTAAGGTTCCAAAATGACCCAGAGATGAGGACGTGCTGATTTAATTGTACACGCTCATGTTCTTTTTTGACTGGGGAGGTGATATATTGACCTAATTTTCTACATGTACTCTAACATGTCTGGTTGTATTTCTCTCACTCCACTTGTTGATTTGCAGACATAATTTTATTTTACTCCTCTGATGACTTTGAAATCCTGTTGACTATTGACTGTTTCAATTAATCAGTCACTTGAAATATATATATATATATATATACAGGGGCTGTCAATTATTTTCGCTGTTCATACATTTATTCCGCTGTATGAATTTGGATAATTTAAGAAAAACAGTTTTGTTGGGTTATAATCAGGCTTAAATATATTATTAAGTTTATGTACAAAACTGTTTTAACATACTTGAAAATTTCATGTGATGTAAGTTGACAAGTTGTGGTGGACTTTTTGTACAGCTTTCAGTAATTTATGACAATACACCTTTTTGCACAGGTGGTTCAAGTTTAAATAAGCTAAATGTATGCATACAATGGTAAGGGAGTTACGTAATTAAGCATAGAGATGCGTAAGATGACGAGTAACTAATAAATGGGGTGAAATGGAATTGGCTCAGCTGAAATCATAAAAACAAGAGACGATCAAAATTACACTATATCATAGGGAGTAAGGTTAAAGCCAAAGATTAAACAGTCAAATGAAAGAGAATAAAATCGTCCAGTCACCAGAGTAAGGAAAAACTAATAATTGGTTTGTCAATGTAGTTGAAGATTGAACGATCAATTCATGGTTGTTTGCTCAAAGCCAACTTCCCCAATTTTCGCGGAGGCATCAATACGACAGTCATCGTCTCATCGGTCGCTGTTCAGAAAGAAGTCAGGCCAAAACCGTCAGAAGTAATATTGTGATTTATCATTGTAATATTTGTCCACAGACCTTAGTTGTAACAGTGTTTATATGTTGGTGTTACAATAAAGAATCCTCGAGTGGCCAGCAGTCATGAATTACTTCCAGAATATGGTGAATTAGTTAGTGAAATTTCTTATCGTTCTTCCCTTCTGTACCATTCATGAGTTGAACCCATAAATTTGTCGGTGTGCAGTTTAAAGCAGGTTGTAGACTTTTGTTGGTGTGCGGCATTTCTCTCTCCTCTACTTAGAGTATATATTAGTTATGAAGTGGTTAAACAAACTCCTTAACAATACATAGCACGATCTCTATTATTTAGTGACGTAATTTTCAAAAAGTTAGGACTGGTTTTTTTCAAGAGTTATACATTTTACCTCACAGTATCATACGTTACAAAACTAGTTTAACGTTTACAGTTTTATTTTCAACGATCGGTAGCTTATGATCAGTTACAAATAGTAGAACTATTCGGTATTGTGTGAGATCCCTTTAGGTTTCTTCCTAATGAAAGAGTGATATAATTCCAACGATTATCGTTCAGCATATTACAAGGTCTTTGTATCAGTGTACAAGAAGACCTCATAAAGGTTTGTCTGAAATTTACTGTCGATCACATCCTAAACAGTACTGGTTGTGAAAATGTTCTGAGAAGCGACAGACTTTATTTCTTTATCATACAGAAATTTACATAAGAAAATTGATGAACCTCATCTCAGAAGATAGCATTCAACTTTCTTCATAAGTTACAATACAAAATAGTGTTTTTGATGTGGTTTTGTTCTCTGAGCTGGATGGTTAGTTTGCGAAGCTTTCATCGCCCTACTGGGTGACATCTTCAGCGCATACTTCAATTTGAAGTGAGCTTTTAGGTTGCTCCACGAGTTTATTAATCATTCCTCCTGGTGACCTTGGACGTGATTGGTTGTTTTTGTGTTTTCACACCTTCTAGGTTACTTGTGTCTTTGTCAGGCGAACAACTACAGGAGAATTAGAAACTCAAGTTATAGGAAATCAACTCGCACAGACCAAATACTGAATTACAACAGCAACAACCTAATAGCACACAAAAGGAATTGCATACAAACACTATTCAAGAGAGCAAGGACTCACTGCAGCACTCCCACCTTAAGGAAAATTGAAGAAAAGTATCTCATGGACGTCTTCCAAAAGAATGGATATCCACGGAATTTCATCAAGAGACATATACCCCCAAGCCAACCTACCAAAACAAAAGCCACCAAGGAAAACACAAAGAAAATCGCCTTACCATATATAAAGGATATCTCAGAAATCACTACAAGACTCTTCAAACCTTTAGGAATTGACGTCGTACACAAACCAACAAAGTCGCTGCACTCAATTCTATGTCAACCAAAAGACTCAACAGCGAAAGAAGACAAAACCAACATCATCTACAAAATAAACTGTAACAACTGCGAAAAACACTACATCGGCCAAAGTGGACGTCCCCTTCGTCTTCGTATCCACGAACATAAGCTAGCCGTCAAAAGACATGATATCCACTCCCTCATTTCACTACACACAGACAACTACGGACATCAATTCGACTGGGACAACGTTCAAATATTAGACAAAGGAAATAACAAGAATACTAGAGAATTTTTAGAAGCTTGGCTGGTATTCCAGTGGATCATCAATCAATAGACACATCGAGATAGACAAAATTTATCAACCAATAAGAAAGAAACTTCACACACAAAGGGTCAAAGTTCAAGTCAAAGAAACAATCAGTTCCAATACAAGTAGCAGTCTAGAAGGTGTGAAAACACACAAAAACAACCAATCACATCCACTGTCACCCACCAGGAGAGATGATTAACAAACTCATGGAGAAATCTAAAAGCTCACTTCAAATTGAAGTATGCGCTGAAGATGTCACCCAGTAGGGCGATGAAAGCTTCGCAAACTAACCATCCAGCTCAGAGAACAAAACCACATCAAAATTATCCACCTGAGCTACAAATCTTCTCTATCATACAAAATCGTGTTTCAGGCTGGAAATAATCTATGTCTGTCCATAGATCGTCATTTGTATATGATCATTCGATTTGTAGTCAGCAAACTTGTCACTTGACCTTCCAATGACTTTTAAGAGTGTTTGAGAACACAAAAAAGATGTTAATTGGTGGTTGGTGACTAGCAGTGGAATCCAGGATGTGCATTTCGTCCTATTTGGGACTCGTCATCTGGATACACCCGCATTCCTCAGTGATTAATGATGTTCCCATCGAGGCTCCAACCCAGTGCTCATAGTTTCAAACGCCAAAGCGTTATACACTAGACCACTTAGGCCATGAGAGCCACCTCTTGTGCAACGAGTCATATTAATTATTTAATTGAATTTTAGATTTTCCCGTCGATTGATTGGACCGAAATGCTCGATCTCAGGTTGACATGTGGGCTGGATTTCACTGCTAGTCACCATCCACAAATTTACTTCTTATTACATGCCCAGACATCGTCGAAGCATCTGCACAAGAAACCGACATGTTAACCTGAGACCGAGTACTTCGGTCCAGTCAACAGAACGGGAAAATCTTAAAGTGAATTACATAAAAAGAGGTAAGATAAATATATTTCCATCTAAATTAATTAACTAATTATTTGAATATGGTTTACGCCCTGAATACTGATGAAGTATACTTTTTCTCTAACCAAAGTGAAAGGAATCCTCTGGGTGATATGCATCTACTACTGAGCCATAAGAACGAAAATTGGTTGAATTCTACGGGGAATTTGTCATCTATCAACCTACCAAACAAAGCGCATGCGGAAAGAAACAATTCACATTTAAATCCATATTTTAATTATCCTAATGTATCTCAGAATGGATATAATGGATATGTAAACAAAATATACACAAACAATTCGAGCATAAAGAATTACACAGTAAGTGATTTACACCAGTCACTGCAAGCATCTAAGGTATTTTCTCAAAATGACTTTACACTTCAACAATTAAGACCTGAACAACAAACCAAAAGTTATGTAAAAACGAAACATTTCGATACTTCATTGTCAAGTTCATCCGACAAATCATGGGATAATATATTAAAGTTATCTGAAAATGAATATCAAAAACACAACAATAATTCATGCAACGAAACATTAGCATTCTCACATGTGTCATTATCAATGGATTCTAACAATCCTTCTGTTGTTTCAACTACACCAACGTCTCTGATGGATTTTGCTACAGATTCTTCAAATGCCAGTGAATCTTTTAAAAGAACAGAAAATATAGTTAAAAGCCAGTTGAAAGCAGCTCATGAATTGGAAACAAGTCCAGGTAATTATCGATTGTACATAAACACAACTACTATATTTGATAGAGTTCCATTCTAGATCTAAATCCTAGAATAATATGAGTTATTCAGTTTTCATAGTTTTCATGTAACTTTGATCATAGATGGAATCTTTTTGATCACCACTGTATTTCTATTTTTGCATTAAAATCTTTAATCGGTGTAGATTAAAGATAAAATGGTTAAAATAAAGAGATGTTTGTAATTAAGTTCAACTTGTATATGTAGTACTGATGAAACTTATGCTACCTTAAGAGCTGCCAACTGGTCGCTAGTTGATGTTTATCGTCTCGTATTACGGAGTGTCCGTCAAGTCTTGAGCATTTCAGCAATAAAGTAATAAACTTTTTTTTTCCAAGAGTTGGTTTGTAAGGATTAGATTTGTTTTTACGAGTTTGACTACGGATTGGTATCAGTTGAAGAACCACTGAAAACCAGCATTGGAGTCAAGGACAGCTGTTTCATCCTAGTATGGGAATCATCGGCAGCAGGCACCCAGTGGGGTTCGAACCCAGGACCTTCCGGTTACAAGACAAGCTCGTATACCATTCAGCCACTGGGACCCGATTCTAATGTCCACTACTCCCTGTTTGTTTTCAATGGTTCTCTAACTGATATCAATCCGTGGTCAAAGTCGTAAAAACAAAGTAATAAACTATTAAAATAAATTATGCACGTTGAATTTCACAATTGTTCGCAAGATTACTGGTATGTCTTACTGATAAATCCAATAAACACAAAACCTAGTCAAGTAGGCTCGCTTGCAAAACGACTTTTATTATCTGATTTTATATGGAATGGAACTCTAGCACTGTATCACCTAACTTAATGATCACATTGCAAACTTAAGTGATAGACTGTGCGTCGGTGGCACAGTGGTTAGGACTCTCGGCGACCATGCACATGGTCCCGGGTTCGAGCCCTCGCCGACGCACACCTGATATCTATGGTTGGCCTGCGAATTTTGGGCTACCGATATCCACGCTGAAAATTCCATACTTGTACCGAAAATACGGTGTGGAATTAAGCTGTAATAAATAAAAAAATAAGGAGTTGTGGGCTACACCGGCTACCCTACAACGACAAATTTATGCACTAGCTAAATTATCCAGGATGGCGTTTGTTTGTGAACTGTTTTGAGTTAGAAGGGTGTAATGTAGCCACAATTATTATACTATTAGATAGTTTGGTGACTGTAATATTCAACATAAAGCTTGTCAATTAAGTTGAACTGATTTTTGTAAAATATTTTATGTTTTTTTTTCCAGCACACGAAGGATACACTTGTGATCGTTGTGGGAAAATGTTTGCCTATCAATATTATCGTGATAAACACTTGAAGTATACAAGATGTATGGATCAAGGAGATAGAAAATATCCATGCAAACTTTGTTCACGGTATGTTTGTTTTATTTCAAGTCATACGCTGTAATTCTCAGTTAGTGTTTATCTGTAAGGTTGTGATAGGAAATAACTCACAAAAGTTGGCTTCAAAAGGCTTGACAAAAGCGAAATTTTCCAAATGACATTTGAGGCATTCTATTAAAAGTGTGATAAACTAACAGTGTGATTGGTTCTTCTCACTATAAGTCTACTAATCTCATAAATGCTGTCATCATTCTATCTTCGTCACACACACACACACACACACACACACACACACAGGTACTTTATGAATACTGCTAGTGTAAATAAGAGAGCATAAAATCAATTCAGGCAACTTCAGATTTCCCCTATATACTGATCCGTTCTTAAAATCTATCCTACGGGTTGTTTACACGTGATCTTCAGTATTGTATCGGATAGAATCAACTTGTAATGAAACAATACTTTTGAAAAAATGGCAATTATTATAAACCATGATGTTTAGCACCTTAAACCAGGTTATGATTAGTTTTATTCTTGGATAGTAGAAGTCAACATAGTACAACGTACATGCACCAAATTTATGAGTTTACAAGAAAGAAATAGGCATACTCATTAGTTTTCATCGCCAACAAAGATAAACTACTAGAGTTTAACGACTGATAACTTTACTACAGAAGAAGGTGAGGAATCGAACACGGTAAATATTTATATATCAAGGTAGGTCTAGAATCCTTGTCCTAGAAGATGTTTTTCTTTACGTCACGCCTACTTCTTTAAGCAGGACATTAAAACTGTTTTGTTTTGATACCCTTTTGGAAAGTGATTTAATTTTCTATATCATCCAGTTAGTGTTTTTAAAACCCAGATTTTACCTTCTATTAGAAAATTATCCTCAAAATAAATAATGAATTAAATATTAATACTGAAGTTCAGTGCAAATCTGACGAATATCATGAAAAATAATTTCCAGGTAGAAGACAAATTATTAAGGAGAAAAAGAGACAGAAGTACTAACAGGACTATATTCGACTGACTGGCGAAGTATACTGCTCAAAGTTATAACTTGTAGCGAGAAATACAGTAAGAACAAGATCAGCTGAGACTTAACACAAGTTTTTGAGTAGTTAATGATGATCTGTATACACTAAGGTCCACATTTTGCTCTTGCGAAACCAAATCAGCCATATATGCGACGTTGAAGTTGTAATTATTGTAAGAATTCCTCAATTCCTCGTTATAATTTTGCTTAAGGTCAAACATGACTGGAATAGCTTACTGATCGATTCTTTGATTCTTATCATTACCTCACAAGAAACATAAATTTCCCATTGGTTTCACATTCACTTTACAAATAAATGAGAATAAAAAGAACACCAAATTAAGTGGAATTTCCCATCTGTTGATTTCCAGTGCTTATATCACAGAAAATTAAGTGTAGTGTAGGATCAACAAGCTATGTAACTATAGTGACAGTTGGTCGATATATTTTTGCTAACATTTAAGACTCAACAACTAGATGGACTATCATGGTGTATGTATTACTGATTGACATGAGTTACTGAAAATTACTCACGTCAAGAGGAAGCGCTGACTAACGAGGTTACAGTGATCTAAACATCGTAAAACCATTTCTCTTGTTTGCGACTGACTTTACCACAAACTGTGTAGTATCTAAGCAACGGATTTGGTTTTATATTTACTGTCAAATGGTGACCAGTACGTATGTTGGAAGTGTTTAGATGAAGTAACTTTGAAAGAGTAGAACATACACTGTAAATCTGTCCGATAGTCAGGACCATTGTCTGAAATATTTCTAAAATCCGAAATTACTATGATACTAAGACCTATTACACATTCCATTATGGGTAAATTTTGTTTTGATAAAGTCTCACAGTGTTATACAGTAATGTTTACTGATGACGTTTCGAGCACAATTTATTGCTCATAATCATATCAAGGTAATCACACGACTTCCTAAATTCATTTATATAGTTCCATTGTTTTTTTCTTGATTTTCACTTGATTTGATTGGTACGTCACGCCTACTTTTTTAAGCAGGACATTAAAACTGTTTTGTTTTGATACCCTTTTAGAAAGTGATTTAATTTTCTATATCGTCCAGTTAGTGTTTTTAAAACCCAGATTTTACCTTCTAACGCTGTGAGACTTTATCAAAACAAAATTTACCCATAATGGAATTACACTCTACCACAGTGCACAAGTTTTATTCTTATACCTATTACACATGTTTTGTCTTCTTTTAATTTAAAGGTCTTTCGAGAAACGCGATCGATTACGCATACATGTATTGCATGTTCACGAGAAGCATCGACCACATAAATGCCATTTGTGCGGAAAAAATTTTAGTCAATCATCAAGTCTAAATAAACACTTACGTGCAAGTTAAAATATTTTCATCTAATTAGTATTTTTGCTTTTTTAAATGAAATTTTCCGTCTTGATTTTACAGATTTAGTCATTTTGAATATATACTTGAATGTCACAATTAATTAATTTAGCATTAAGTCAGTGCGTTAACCTTCATAATAACATATATGTTATCAGTGTGAAGACAAAAACAAACTTTTATTCAATAATTACAAGTTGGAAAGCTGTTTCAGTCAATGTAGCTCACAGCTAAATATTACCACATCGTATGCACTTCAAATGCATTTGATTGAAAATACCATGATTTTATTTCATTTTTTAATTTTTGATTACAGCTTGATTCCACACAGTACTTTTTGGTACAAGTATGGAGACAGAACTCCGACCAGAACAAGCTGGATTCAGAAAAGTCAGGCAAATCATGTTCTGACCAAATTGCAACTCTACGCATCATCATCACAGAACAAAGCATGAAATGGCAATCAATCAAACCTCTACCTCAACTTTATAGACTTTGAGAAGGCCTTCACTAGACAGCGTTGACCGTGAAGTAATTTGGAAACTACTCGAGTACTATGGCGTACAGTGCCCAAATATTCATCAACCCTATTCAACAGCTGTACGACAACGGAACATGTCAAGTGATACACAACGGAAAACTCAGAGAGGCGTTTCGAGTAAACACAGGAGTCAGACAAGGGTGCTTGCTTGTTATCACCAATGAAAGATATTACTAATTGTGGTGGACTGACTGGATTGTGTGTCGTTAGACAGTGGGAAAAGAGAAGACAGGGATATCGTGGACCGACAGACGTGAAGAACCTAGAAGACCTGGATTTCGCGCGTGGATGATTTGTGTTTGATGTCACACAAAAAATAGGAGACTTACAAGCGAAAACCGACAAACTGGTCGAAGAAGCAGCTGGCGAAGACAGGACTCCAGGTAAACATAGACAAGACGGAGGTTATGAAAATAACCAACCAACCAACAACAACATCAACAACAGCAGCAACATCCAGCGCCAATCACCATCAATGGGAGGGATTTGAAAGAGGTTACTTCATTCATTCACTTATCTAGGGAGCATTGTCTCAACTACAGGCAGTCGGAATGGACGAGGATGTCAAATCGAGCGAGAATCGGGGGAAGGCGAGAAACACAATCATCAGCCTGAAATCAATCTGGAAATCTTCGTCACTCAGCCAGCATCAACAACAAAATTCCGTCGGTCGGATTTTCAATACAAACGACGTCAAGTCAGTCAGTTCTTCTATACGGATCGGATCAGAAACTTGGGTGGCGGGTCACAAAGAATATTTCCAACAGCCTGTTGCAGACGTTACCTTTATCAACCAACAACTGTCTTCGCTGGATCTATAGTGAAGATCAGATTAGGCCGGGCCGGAAAGAATCACCAACAAGAGACTATGGTTGGGAACAAACAAAGCAAGAACCAGTCGCCCAATCAACAAATATGCAGGAGAAAGTGGAGATGGATCGGACACTCGCTAAGGAGGGAGGCCACTGGGTGACATGGCGCGCCAAGCCCTCGATTGGAACCCGAAAGGGAAGCGGCGTGTGGGACGTCGGTGCAAGGGTGACATGGAGGAGATCGTGTGAAGAGGAGTTGAAAGAATATGGATTTACATGGATGCAGGCGAAAAGTATAGCAGAAGACAGAAGCAAATGGAGACGTGCAGTTGAAGACTTATGTTCCACTAGGAACCCAAGGGAGCAATAATAATAAATAATAATGGGATTTTCAGCATGGATATCGGTAGCCCAAATTTTGCAGGCTGACCATAGATATCAGGTGTGCGTCGGCAGGGGATCGAACCTCGGACCATGTGCATGGTCGACGAGAGTTCTAACTACTGTGCCACCGACGCACAGGTAGGTTATGATTTACGTGCTTTGTGACGCCAGTGTGACAGAAGCAAGAAGGATTCATCAATCAATTTGAAACTGATTTCAAATCCAAGTATACCAGTGAGAAGCATAACCGTCAACAGTTTGGTCACTATAGCGGTCACAGGTATACAGCGCTAAGATGTTTCATTTTATACTGATGGTATTTCATTAGCAGTTTTTTAAATTCCATCATGAGTGGCAAAAGTTAATCTCCTTTACATGATTATATGACAAGTATCGCCAGCGGTATTTTTAGCTCATATGATTATTAGAAGCCTACATTATAATCGATGGTTTTGTGTCCTCGGCTGTATTTTAAGTTTTTTTTCTAGTTTAGTACACTGAAGTACAAAGTCACTGAAGACCCTGTGAATACCAAAAAACTATGAACTTTTTCATAAAAGACCTCAGGAGGAGAGTGATTGATAAATTTTACCGGCCAGGTTATCGACTCATTATTAATAGTTGATTTTTATGTGCAGTGATGCAAACAGTAACTTTTTCCAGTGTATTTGGGAAAGATTTGGACTTCAGTAAGTCAAAAGTAATCATAAGCGCTGACTTCATCAGCTGTATTAGTTCTAATTCAGTAATTTGTAAAGACGAAGGCAAGCATTTATATTGGTTGCTGTTAAGCATAGAAGAGCAAAAACAAAAGATAACAAGGTGATAAGGATGAGGGCAGAGTAGATTTTCATTAACACCATTGGCCGAGGTGATGAGAATTACAACCTATCCATTTCCTTTAATTCGTCAATCCCAATCCCTACGGTCAGAGTTTAAAGACTTTATGAACTGGTAGAAAACACTCTTGGCTCTATTTTCTCTTACCTCAAAACAACACATCAGTTAGCAATTAATTAATAGTGTACGCTATTATCAACCAAGTGATCTTCTTTATCCAAGACTCTGGAGCCAATAACAACACGGCTAACATGATGATTCCACTGGGATGTACTGATTCTACTGAAGTATCGGTAGAAAAATAATTAATGAAAAGAGCAAAATGAGCAGTTCAGCTTAGAGGTTATTTTCTGATAATTCGGGGGAATTCTCCCAATCCAGTAACAATTCTCAAAACAGATTAAATAGATTTTTATATAATTTATTATTGTTGTTTTTTGTCATGTCTAGGTACACAGTGGTGAACGGCCTTATAAATGTTGTTATTGTAACAAAGCATTTACTGCCAGCAGTATTCTTCGGACACATATTAGACAGCATTCAGGAGAAAAGCCGTTCAAAGTAAGAGTATTATTATTATTGTCATTGTTGTTAATATACTACTAACAACACTCGATGAAGATAATAGATAAATATTCTATGGATGTATGTGGCAGTAAATTTCAGTGTACATTCTTACACACCTTTATTAATCTGCTAAATGTGGTAAACATAAATGTCATTGAATGTCACTTAATTTTTACCCCCTCATCTAATGCACCCAAATTTTGTAAAATAAGGTATCAAAATGTGAGACAGTATTTAATTCTCCAACACTCAGGCTCAGTTTTGTAAGATAAGGAGTGATGACTTGTGTAATAGGAATGATTCAACACCTGTCCCAGATATCTGGAAAATTCTACTACCTCTACGACAAATAGGAGAGAATGAAGAAAACTATAAAGCTCAAGTTTCGAAGTCGTGTGATCATAATTGATATGATTATGAACAGCAATAAATTGTGTTTGAAACATTATCCAGCGAGTAATACTGTTTCACTCTGTGATATATCTAATAAACAAACTAATGTGGAACTACTTACTACCACAGTGCTCAAGTTTTACACATACATTAATAAGGAGTGATGACTTTCTTGTAAATTGAAATTTACTCTCTTCATAATCATAAGTAGTCAGTTTAGCATAAAAGTACTTGATATTTTTGAAGTAAATAAGGTTAATATTTATGAGAAACAGTGTTACATCACACTAATAAAAATAATCTAATCCCAGTAATAAGCATAATCGAACCCTGGCGGTGGGTGCGTACTGATGAAGAGTCGCAAACTAGGACGAAACAGCTGTCCAGTACTCCCAGCTTGTTTTCCAGTGGTTCTCTAACTGATGTCAACTCATGATTAAATCCTCCATGTAATCTAAAATACTCAAAAAATATATTTGGTAGAGTAGTTAATTTTGAATGAAATAAATATTGATTTCTATTGGTAGGTTAATAAAATGAAAGCACAATGTTACATTCATTGAATGACTTTAAATTCTCCGTTATCTTGTTTCATAATTTGGAAATACTTGGTCTTTGTTGGCCTATTGGCTAGCAGTATAGATACTTCAGTGATGCCTTGACATCGATTTTGTGCCATTTGGTTGATAATTGCTGGCGGCAGAATCCAGGAAACGTGCTTCTTTTTATTTAAGACTTGTCAAGTGGGCATAACTGAATCAAAGATCTTATATTCCATTGGTAGCCATAAAGAAGCCTATTGAAATGTTTTATCAATAGGCTTCGAAATTACAAAGGTAATAAAGAAGTATGAAAGAGAAGTACTTGCTTTTACTGGAGTGTACTATCTGTCAAATAGTATCTCATCAGTCCGCTCCGTCCTCCTTTATGGTTGTGAGACCTGGCCACTGAGAGTGGAAGACATGAAAAGACTAGCTGTCTTTGATCATAGGTGCCTGCGTTCTATTTCCCGTGTAAAGTGGCATAAAAAGGTGAGCAACATGGAGGTTAGGCGTAGAGTTCTAGGTAAACAGGGGAAATCAATCGACGAAGTCGTGAAGCTACAAAGACTGAGATGGTTAGGACATGTGTTACGTATGCCAAGCCATCGCCTCCCTCGACGAGCTATGCTAGCGGATATAGGGTCAGGCTGGAAAAAAACTAGCGGCGGTCAAACAAAAACTTGGCCGAACCAGTCAATGAAATCTACAACAGTTAGTCTAAGCCACGTAGAAAGGTGTAGACTTCCAGGCTGGGGTCCTCGGGACGGTAAAAATCTATGGTTGGAAACAATTGGTGACATGGCTCAAAATCGTTCTCAGTGGCTAACGCAGATGCATCCACTCCTTGTGACTTATGATCTTCAATGAAACTGTTTTGTATTTCTTTATTACTCCTTTGTCTCACACCTCTGCTCACTGTTTCTATTATGCTTTTCTTGTACTTTCTTCTCTTGCTTCGCGTGCTACACGGAATGTGGCGACTTGAACTTCAGCACATTTGTGCAAAATTCTATGTCGAAAATAGACAGACAGACAGACAAATAGTATCAGATGTGTCAGTCTTAGTCATTCCATTAGAATAAATTCAGAAAATGCAATTGGCTTCAAAACTTATTCCCCTTTTTTTATTTGTTTCGGATAACTCCCATTATCACTGTGTTGTTTATCTATAGTTGCATAGCCCTACATAAGTTAGTTGGCTTAAGTATCAGTTTTCGTCTTTTAGTTAAACATTAAAATTTTTTTCATGCATTTATTCCCCTTGATAAATTTGAATAAAGCGAGAACAACATTGATTTGTGCAGAATAACATGGTACCATCATTTATTTCGTTGGCTTCTCGTCAGCTGCTTACAGCCTAAATAAATTTTCAGGTTTAAGTACAGAAACGTTTTAACGTACTTGCAAATTTTACATGTTGACAGAAAGTTTCACAACTAGTAAACAGTGCTCAGAAAATTGCGCTTATATAGTTTTTACACAGGCAGTTCAAGTTAAAAAATAATAAATAAATGTATGTATATAATGGTAAGGGATGTGCGTTGGATGCATAGTGACTAATAAGTTAGGTAACAATGTACTGAGTTGAACTCAAATCATAGAAACAAGAGACAAACAAAATTACAGATTATAAAAGGAGGGTGAGGTTAAAGACAAAATTACACAATCAGATGAGAGATGCAAAGTGACTAATAAGTTAGGTAACAATGTACTGAGTTGAACTCAAATCCTAGAAACAAGAGACAAGCAAAATTATAAAGGAGGGTGAGGTTAAATAAAGACAAAGATTACGCAATCAGATGGGAGAAAAAAGACATCCAGTTACCAAGGCAAGGAAAGACTAATAACTGATTCTTTCTGAACACATAGATCTGGTTTCAAGCGTTTGATAGAAATTGCTTCGGCAAACTTGAGGAGAATGGAGCTCCTTTGTCTATTAATAATTTTGAAGGATTTCTCGATTTCCACCTCATGACCCGTGTCGAGGAGATGTCTGGTAATAGCCTGTGTAAAAACTATATAAGCGCAATTTTCTGAGCACTGTTTACTAGTTGTGAAACTTTCTGTCAACATGTAAAATTTGCAAGTACGTTAAAACGTTTCTGTACTTAAACCTGAAAATTTATTTAGGCTGTAAGCAGCTGACGAGAAGCCAACGAAATAAATGATGGTACCATGTTATTCTGCACAAATCAATGTTGTTCTCGCTTTATTAAAATTTTTTTCTTTTGTTTAGTTTACTGGTATTTGTTAATACGCGTCTGTTTACTTCAGACTATATTATGTCAAATTCTAATGACGTCTTTTAGAAGCAGATTTTTCACTTTAAAGAATGTAACCCAACCAGAATCCTTATTTTGAATTGTTCATTTGTTCATTTCTGGCTTAGATGTATTACCTCATATGTGAACCCTGACATAAGCTTAAATTAAGCAACTCTGTTTTTCATAGTTTAATACTTAAGAGAAAAGATTCTATTCTTTGTCCTAATTCTGAGAATAATGGCTACACTGAAAACTAATGTGGTTAATTGAGGTTTTATCTTGTCAGTTATCATTCTTAGGCCATAGAAGCTATTCATAATCTAGTATACGGAACCTATTGTAGTAGTGAAGTTGTGCTCACATTTCTATTGAAACACAGATTTTGATTTAAACAGCAGTGCATGACACTTGAGAGTAATTTTAGTGATGATGTGTCACCATTTCACACATAACTAAATTCAAGAGAACTATTTGATTGTATTGTAACGATAGAACACAAGGACCAGGCAACAGGTCGTTTATTGAGAAAATCAACAGATATTTACAGATTTTTATGGACATTATCATTAGCGTTATTGTTGGCAGAGAGGCAACGTCTTCTGATTGGTTGTTTTATTGCTGAGGGTTATTCTCTACTGCATGTGACTGTTTTTCAGAAAGTTAAGTCGTATATCTGCGAATCATATTTGCACACATTAAGTTTTCTGTGATTGGTTGATGAGTTTATCAAGACTAAGTTTTATTATTGTTTTTTCTCATGACCCCGATTCGGGATATAAACAATGACGTAAATTGCTGTCTACAGTTTTTGGCTTGCAGACAGCTTTCACCACAGTATGTTTTTATAAATATTAGGTGCTATGTGGATGACAGAGATTTTGAAATACCTAATGTTCCTAAAAATCTCAGCCTGTCTCCAATATCTCATTTACAGTAGACTTGTATACATCCACTTACTTTAGCAGAAAAGTAGTGAGAACAGCTTTGTTTAGAATTTTTGTCAGTTGTATACAGTATGAAAGTCGCTGTAAGATATCCTGACATACTTTTAAATGAAGAGTTTGTTCATTTTTGAAGAGTAAGGAAGCTAACATGGTATCCACAGTAAACAATGGATTAAGATGATAAAATTTTGAACCAAGGTGAAATCGATTTGTATTACAAGAAGGAGAATATTATTTAACTGGACAGACCAAGTGAGAAGCAAATGGAAGTACTGGTATATGCATCAGAAGTGGTGATTATCTTATCGAAATGATAAACAAGTGAGAACGATGAAAGATAACAGTATTACTAACAAAAACAATAAGAATAAACTCTGATTGAGAGTGACACTGAGTTTAGTTACTAAGGAAAAAAGGAAATTAATGACCGTTATTGAGGTTTAGTGAGTTAGGAATTTAATAATTCCCATTGTAACATTAAGAACACAGTATTCATCGAAGAGACTCCTTCCAGTGAATTTATTATCAAGCTGTAAGATTATATCCGGTGAGGGAATCGAATCAAAGATGTGAATACATGAATCAATAATAGTATGAAATGCAAATAAAATGTGTGATTATAATCACATTTAAATGTCAAGTGACAAAACAATTAATGTTATATATAGAATAATTGATAAGATGTATAGCTGTTGGAAAGGGACATATAATTACAGGGTTAGTAGGCTAATACAAAACGTTATGCAACATGGTGTGAAACTTGAAAAGATAGGATTTAACATTGTAAAGATATTTTTTGGATTTAGAATGACAGGTGGGATAAGTGGAAACGATTCAAAGTGACGGTGATAATATCAACCCGTGATCAACTCGTAAAAAAGAACTAACCCTTACAAACCAAACTATAGAGTGGTAATAATAATAATAATAGTAATGAAGGAAATAAACAAAATAAATATTAAAATAAATAAATGTCTATACCTCTACAGCCAAGGCAGAAGTCGGGATTGCACATACTTCTTTTGTACACAAAGTTCACGAATGACCAAAGCCCCCACTATCTTTAGAATTTCATAACGAAGAAAACGTGGCAAGTTAGCACGGATTCGATAGATGATCTACGGTTGGTAGAGTGACAGGAGTCGATAGTGTTCTAGAATAGATCCTCACACACCCTTCCTTTATCCCTTATGAAACCATGCTGGAATATGTTCTCGTATATGTGTGGAAGGTGTTCTCTGGCTACGGCCAATGTATGTTGCTTCAAAAGATCAGGTGAACTGATAGACGCGCGTGGAGGCGGTCAGATGAGCGAGCGTATCTTTTACACAGGTGAAGAATAACTTACGTCTGGTGAACATCATTTGTAATTTAGCAGCAAAGGACGTTTTACTGACTGATTTAGAGACAGTTTTTGAATATATCTGCAGCTTGATCACTTTTGAATTCCAAGTTCATGAATATGGCTTTCTTTGATACTGAGTCGGTAACATTAAGTTAGTATTCGTTTACTTTTGATCATATAATCCAAGTCTAACTTTTTGAGTGACACTGGATATTTACAGCTTAGTAGAAAATTTTCTTGTGCTCACCACAATAAGAGATTTCAACATGTCGACATGGCATACATATTGAATACACGAAGGTCATTCTGCATAGGTAATTCTTGGTTGGCATTGATTAGAATCTATAGCAATTTATACATTTATAATAGTTTAGATAGAGATAAGAACCTTGACCTAACACTGGTTGATAACTAAAACATTGGTGATCTGTTGAATTACTTTCATTTGTAAGGATCTTCTAATATACCATTTAGAACATGTGAATCCATTTCAAATTTAAATAGTTTTTTAAACATAGATTTTCCTAAACTTAAAATTCGAAACATCTGCATTCATTAATGGCTGAGAAATCTTGGATGAATACTGTTTGATAACTATTAACAGGTTCATTGTGTTACATATTGTACACGTAGATATCTTTATTTCATTGAAGCTATGGACGCAGTTTGATAAGCGAAATATCTAACCTTCCTATTTATAGCAACTCTGCTTAATTTAACTATTTTAGACTTTACAATTACACGCTACTCACTATTTGTAAGTAGTATCATTAGTATTCCGTCATTTTATCCGTCATTTATCATTAGCCGAACATTCAAAGTGCTATTCAGTGTAGATGTTTGATTTATCGCCACTTCGTTTCTATCTGACCTCCTTTCCCTTCATTATTCCCATAAGTAGTACGCCTTACTTCTTTAATCATTGATGATCTCATATTACTTTAGCTGTTTTTCATGTCCAGTTTGTTTGTGTGTACGACATCTCCATTGATAACTGTGTAATCTTTAATCATTTTGTTGTTATACCACTTCACATATGTCTGTTGGCCAGGATAATCTGAATTCATTACTAACACTTTCTACTGTGTGAGAAACTCTAGTAAATCGAATTAATGGATGTCATGCTTTTGTGATTATTACACATTAGCTTCAATTGCAAATAATTCCTAACGTGCAACTTTGATGTTTTTATGCATCATTTGAGAATTAGGCTTTGTCTTTTTGTACAACATCTTCAGTAATGGTGATGCATACACCAGCTTAAGAATCATAGCAGCAAGCCGATGTGAGAATTTCGTTCACTGAAATCCCTTGTTAGCACTTTTAGATGCATTCTACCTGAAATCTATGGTTGGCCTGCGAATTTTGGGCTACCGATATCCACGCTGAAAATTCCACACTTGTACCAAAAATACGGTGTGGAATCAAGCTGTAACCATAAAATAAAAAAATAAAAAATACAAATCCTGTGAATATGTTATAAATTCATTTATTTGAAGTGAATGAAGTTCTAGAAGGCAGTAAGAGATTGGCAACGAACAACTGATACAATCAAGTATAAAACAAACAGAATAATAATAAAGTGGAAAATTTTAACTAGGAAGATTGTATTCCTTAGCCATCTTTTAAAATGATGAAGTGTCGTTATATTTAAACCAACTTAACAGGAGTTTTCAGTTTGAAAATAAATTCATTCACTGGATTGAATGTTGAAATTTCAGGTTTAATATATGTAGGGCAACTGTTTATAAAAAGCATATAACAGCATCAGAATTCACTGCTATTTGATTTGGAAATAATAAACTAAGATGGATTATTGAAAAAGAGATGGAAAGAGAAAGATATACCGAGATACTAGTCTCAGAGTGCTCACATCTACTACTGTCATTTTCTTGATAATATTGATATAATTGATAATATTGACTTTTTAATGGAGATATTTAAAAGAGATTCAAATGTTATCAAATTCCTTTTAATTATTTATAACTCTAGTGTAAATTCTGTTGGAAACCATTTGCTTCGCATGCAGCACACGATAGTCATGTACGCAGAACTCATGCTGTAGAAACCAAAATATCAAGTGTGAATCAAGCATCCCAAGTGGATAAATTTTATGAATCAAGAATCACAAGTAATTCAATAATATCGAATATTGAATTCGGGCATACGATGGAATGACACACTAAAGCAGTAATGTGGTAAGTTTTTTGATTTAAAATTATTCCATTATATTCTTGAACCTAACTGTCCTTATTATTTAATATTGTACAAAAGTTAAAACAGTATTTTAACGGCTACTGTGTAGTGAATCAAACCTATGTGTTGCATAAGGTTAGTTCTGACCACAAAATTAGATTGGTCTAAATGATATCAACTTCTTTAGAAAATAAGTGGCGATGAGATCACTGAGAGGTGAGTAGTAAATGTCTAAACTCAGAGAACACCAAACATTATTCATTATCATAACGGACAATATACATTTTCTTTATGATTACGAGTATTCACAACAGACTGAAAAGTCACTTTCTGTTACTAAGTGGATCTTATACTGGGTAAGCGAGGTACCACTGATGACTAGGCATTGTAAAACATAACCATAAATTGACTCACTATTATCCTACAACTTACAAGCTTTCAGCCATGCTGAAGAATGTGACTTCTTAATTACTTTTTGGTAATAGTGTAATGACAGAAGACAAGGTCAAGACAACAGATCGTTTATTGAGAAAATCAACAGATACTTTTAGATTTTTATGGACATTATTATTAGCGTTATTGTTAGCAGAGAAGTAACGTCTTCTGACTGGTTGTTTTATTGCTGAAGGTTATTCTGCACTGCTTGTGACCGTTTCTCAGAAAGTTAAGCCATATACCTGCGAATCTTACCTGCACACGTTAAGTCTGTTGTGATTGGCTGATGAGTTCCTCAGGACTACGCTTTATTATTGTTTTTCTCATGATCCCGATTCGGGATGCAAACAATGACGTAAGTTGTTGTCTACAATTTTTGGCTTGCAGACAGCTCTCACTACAATACTTCCTTAATTTACAACCAATTAAACTGTGAAGTCTCTGCATGCAATTTTATTGTCCCACCTCAGTCATTCTGACTTAAATCGATTTATGTCAGTGTCAGGGGGATCCATACTTTATTGAGAGTGCAGAAATTAGTAAAGTTTAAGATTAGAAGTTATTGCCTGGCTAGTAATTACTGAAGGTAACTGTTAGTCAATACGATGAAAGTGCTATGTGGAAGGTAGTCCTAATCTGATTCACACACTTGATAACACACCCTAAGATATCTCAAGTGTCAGACGTCCTACAGGTAATTTATTTAGCTAGTGTTTAATTACTTCACAACTTATCTACTTATTCTATACTTATTTAAATTATGTGTCTGAAACGTACTCTATCAGCCTGAAAATCGAATCTCAACTGGTATTTCAGATAATATATGTTATTCTAATGTGGAAAGTGAACTTCACTATTTAGATTACTGATATTTTACATAAACCATTTTTTAATCATTCAAGAATTCCTAAAATTATTCCAGGATCTATCTTTTGTTTACAGCTTTTGCCATGAAAAGATGCTTAACATCTCTTACAGAATCTGCGTCACGCAACTATGATAATATGAGAGGAAGCAACAGTTAAATTTCTTCAACAACATTCACACATATCCGCAGTTTAAAAATTCAAAACACCTTTGACTTTGATTCAATAGTCAGTTTTATTTTTTGTTTTTCCTTTCAATAACTTATCTTTAGTCTGACAGTTATTCTTTACCAAAAATGTTAGTCATTCCTATTTAGTGTAAATATTTATTTTAAATAAATTCCCAAAATCATCAGATCTCACTTTTTTCTTAGTTTTGCATTTCTCAGCTGAATCGTAATTCAGTGCTTTTTAACTTTTAATTTTGGGTAGGATGAAAGTGAAGGTGGACTGGAGTAAATAGGAGCTGACAAAAGTGCAAAAAATAAGGCTACCACATATGAAGAAGTCAAAGTAAATCTAATTGTAGTAACATTCCAGTAAATAATTCTGAGTAGAACAGATGAATGAATAATCTTAATAATGGTTAGGGTGAAAACTTCCGAAATAGTGAGTGAATGCACTACCTTGACTGTTATCGACTTTAAACCACTTTATAGATAGTCTCCAGCTATTTTTTTCACAATTCAAGAAATTCGACCAGTTAGATTACACTTTCCCATACAACTGCAGTGAAGGAGATGCTCATATCCTTCACTATGTCAATTGTTCACTGAAAATACAATGTTTAGATGCATTTATTGGTCTGATACAGCCAACAAACTTGACTGTATGCCTGTGTCACATTAAACGCCATATTATTATTTTTTTAATTTTTTATTACAGCTTGATTCCACACTGTATTTTTGGTACAAGTATGGAATTTTCAGCATGGGTATCGGTAGCCCAAATTTTGCAGGCCGACCATAGATATTGGGTGTGCGTCGGTAGGAGATCGAACCTCGGACCATGTGCATGGTCGGCGAGAGTCCTAACCACTGTGCAGAAGATAAAGCAATATCTCGAAATAAGCAACCAATTACAGCTACAAAATAGACGACTGAGTGAAGATACAAGAATAAATTGGCTAAAAAATAATGAAATGACAAAAATGTTTTTATGAAGATGACTTAGTGAGAACAAGTGGACATCATGATATAAAAATGGAGAAGAAAAACAAATATTAGTCCAAAGTGTGTAGGAAGGGTTTTTTTCTGTATTTTCTGCCACAGAAAATGCTGATTTCCTGCGAATAAGTGAAGATGCTGTGACATCTAAAAATCACACGAAGTTGGACTCCTTTTTGGTGTTTATAGCTCCACAGGTTTGCGGACTTCAGAAATCATGAAGTTGAAGGTTTATAAGCATGCTGCTGAAATCAAACCAATACATTTCGGGAATTCTCAGTGAAGAACGACACTAGAGTGTGCGCGCGTAATACTCTACTGACAAGGCAATCACCCACAAAACTGAAAGCAAAGTGTGTCTTGAAATTCATAGATTTCAAAAATAACTCAGGGATGGACAGTGGTTGGTTGGTAGGCTTAGAGAAGTGACATTTCGCCACTTCATTATGAGCGAAAAAATTTTTCTGTACATTTATAGCGATTTTGATTGATGCATGAAAAGTGGTAGCGAAATTAGATATAATGAGACCTGCAAACCTAAAGTAACAATTATTTTTTGTGACATTATTTGACCAGTTTAACTTATTCAGACAAGGGCCGATGAAAGGAAACTTGGTATATATCAAGGCATAACTCAAAAGCTGTCATCAGCGACCTGCTTTAACTTTGGTCTACTAAAATTTTCCATCATTTATACTGTGTCTAACTTCTCGGACTTATTTTGTTTAAATCATGCATTTATGTGCTTAATCGTACTAATTACCCTGGCGATTATTTAAAATGTTTTCAACCGGCTGATTTATGAATTCCTGATAAACTTAAGAAAAAGCATCATAGTGGTTGGCGAAAATGCATCAGATAACTTTTCGTGTGATTGTGAGCACAAATTGCAAGTCTTTATCGAACAAGATTAATTAATTTCATGCTGTATTATGTTCAACTGTTTATTGTAATACAAGTGTAATAACGCTTCAGGAAACTTGGCCCCATGATTCATCTGATGACAGTTTAGCCTCCATGAATGGTTTCACTGGCGAAGTACAAGAATAGCGTCCCAGGAGTGTGAACGTTCAAATGACCTTGAACACATGCTAGTCGTTGGCTAACGGTCCCTGCCATTATCATAGCTGAAATATCAACCCTATTCATCAAATAAGGAGCAAGTTTCACCCAGATAACACTTTTAATTGCTGTTTGGATAATGTGTTAACATCTCGTTAGGGTTAGGATTAGGGTTAAGGCGAGTATTGGGGTTAGGGTTAGGGATACAGTCATAATTGGGACTAGGGTTAGATTTACGGCAGGATAAGGATTGCCATTTGGGTTAGGATTAAGGTTAGGGCCAGTGTGGAATTCAGGGTTAGGGTCAGGATTAAGGCTAGGGTTGGGATTAGGAATAGATTTGTCGTTTATTTCAACTTGTTTTATTATCCTCATTTTCCTTGTATGTAGTCGCCAATGCTCTTACTGAAACCATTGTAACTTAACCGAGGGCTTTGGAGAGGACTACACAGCAATGGAAGAGAGATGAACAATTCACAAAACAGCACACCTTCAGTCACTTTGGTGAATACATCTACAGAAACTAGTCCAAATTAGCAACTGATACTCTTCATCGCAACTGAAACGTATTTTTAAGTCATGTCAGAGAAATACAATCCGTTTAATGTGTTTCCATGCATTTTCTTGTGAATATACGTCATTTTTCGTGCGAAAATTCCTCATTTTTATGATTGGCTGCCTGAAGGTCACTCGTGCGTTCGCATCCATCGGGACGCTATTGTTGAACTTTGCCGTTTCACTATGTAAAGACCAGACCGACACAGTTCTAGGAGGAAGCGAGGTGGTGCACGACCATGGTGCATGGGGCCACAGAGCAAGAAGGAATCTCAATCTAGGAAGTAATGTAATCGTGAGGATTCCCAGACAGTAAGGTTCCAAAATGACCCAGAGATGAGGACGTGCTGATTTAATTGTACACGTTCATGTTCTTTTTTGACTGGGGAGGTGATATATTGACCTAATTTGCTACATGTACTCTAACATGTCTGGTTGTATTTCTCTCACTCCACTTGTTGATTTGCAGACATAATTTTATTTTACTCCTTTGATGACTTTGAAATCCTGTTGACTATTGACTGTTTCAATTAATCAGTCACTTGAAATATATATATATATATATATACAGGGGCTGTCAATTATTTTCGCTGTTCATACATTTATTCCGCTGTATGAATTTGGATAATTTAAGAAAAACAGTTTTGTTGGGTTATAATCAGGCTTAAATATATTATTAAGTTTATGTACAAAACTGTTTTAACATACTTGAAAATTTCATGTGATGTAAGTTGACAAGTTGTGGTGGACTTTTTGTACAGCTTTCAGTAATTTATGACAACACACCTTTTTGCACAGGTAGTTAAAGTTTAAATAAGCTAAATGTATGCATACAATGGTAAGGGAGTTACGTAATTAAGCATAGAGATGCGTAAGATCACGAGTAACTAATAAATGG